TTTCTATGCTGTCCTACTAATACAGTGCATGAATGCATTCCATTCAGTCAGTTTCTATGCTGTCCTACTAATACAGTGCATGAATGCATTCCATTCAGTCAGTTTCTGTGCTGTCCTACTAATACAGTGCATGAATGCATTCCATTCTCTATGCTGTCCTACTAATACAGTGCATGAATGCATTCCATTCTCTATGCTGTCCTACTAATACAGTGCATGAATGCATTCCATTCTCTATGCTGTCCTACTAATACAGTGCATGAATGCATTCCATTTTCTATGCTGTCCTACTAATACAGTGCATGAATGCATTCCATTTTCTATGCTGTCCTACTAATACAGTGCATGAATGCATTCCATTTTCTATGCTGTCCTACTAATACAGTGCATGAATGCATTCCATTCAGTCAGTTGCTGTCACTCAATACCTCATACCTTAAAACGGAACGCCATGAAATTTAAGAAAGCAAAAACCTTACGCTACGGCGACTCGTTCATTTTTCGGCGGATTTACGGCGGACGAAATACGGCGGCTGATGCGGCGCGGCGCATATTTTACGGCGGATTTTTGGCGGACGAAAATTCGGCGGCGTATTCGGCGCGCGGCGTCGGCTGAGGGGTCTAAGTACAAGGGGCAATTTCAGCTAGCGGTCAAGAAATGTTTACCGGTACGCAGTAAGGTGAAATCAATATACTGTACCTGTACGAAAGTAGCGAATGCACACTCCAATGAACTGGAGCCGCAGAAAATTTTTTCTTCATATTCGCAGGACGCAGAAATAAGATATTGATTCATACCGTTTAGGCTTATTTACTCTTGTGATTTTAAATAATATAGATCGTTATCAATGCCAGCTTTTCAAACAATAAATAATATACGGTATTTCTTTTAATTTTATAAATTAGAAGTCGATATGTTGTCAAAGCTGGTCATCATCGTACCGTACTACTCGTACTAAATGTTCTTATTTCTAATGTCTTCGTTTTCATGGTCGTTCATTACTCTTGGTTCAAAATTCAAACTTACGTCATTTTTTCAGCTGTGTTTTGACTTATTAATAAATTTACGAAAAGTTCACACTCGAGATCAGGTTATTGCAACGGTTTTCTTATTTTTATTTTTGTAATGCCTAATTTCTTAAATTTTTATTGTTTCATTTATAGCCAACATCTGAGGGATAAACAAAAACCTGAAAGTTAATCAATGTTTACAATGCGCTATTTTTGAAACTGGAATTTATTATTTTTTTTTTTTAAAGACTAGGAACCTCTAATGTTTCTCTTGGTGTTGACCCCAAAATCATCAGACACAACTGAGCTAATGTCAGTGGTGTCAATAGGATTTGTGTCACCCAGTGCGTTTAACTTAACTCATCGTGTCCTCCTCCCCATTTTTAGACCTTCCCATCGACATCAACGCGTCTGTCTGCTCTGGTGGCAAACTTCTCTGTCTGGTGATACAGTGTTATGTTGACAACCTGCTGCGGTGAGACAGTGAGACCCTGCTCTGATGACAACCTCATTCTGGTGGCAACGTGCTCATGTATTTAACTTAGCTCTGTTTTGAAACGGACTCGAATTACAGTTATCTTGTCAAATTTTTAATTTTACCTTTGGTATCACTCCCTGTCCGCTACCCATTGACGCAACTCCCTCTATGCTACCCCGTTGATGCTACTCCCTGTCCGCTACCCAACTGACACTGCTGCTTAAAATATCTTGGGAACATCTGAAAATAATGGTACCGCAAATAAAATTTCAGGATCTTCTTTAACTATACTTGAGTTTTTTGGGTTATAAATTCATTTTAGTTACAGTAGCCTTTGGTTTTTTAAAGAATTAGAAAGAGCATCTGATTGAATGCTGATGCCAAAGATTAAGAAATCGTGCTTAGAGTCATAATTTTGCCCAGTAAAAGTGGTTAAGAAGCCTCGTCTTGCCTCGCTTTACACATACGAAAGAAATATTATCAATGATTATAAAACGATTGAGTGTTCTTTAACCAGACATTAAACACATCTTATCGCTTTACTGTAAAAGTTACTAAACCCATCCAAACAAAAACAGTACGTAGGCCTACTTTTGATCGATGTAGCGGTAAGCGCCCTTAACCATAAACCTACTTAAAAAAAAAACAAAAAAAAAAAAAACAAACTGTGGTGGTATTGATCGATCAAAGTAATCAATTTATAAATAAAATTAAAAATATGTTTTTTTAATTAAAATGCCTTTCGATATTTTCTTCTCGAAACACAAATAAAAAGTTACCGGTAATTTAAAAGTTTTAACAACATATAATTGTTTTTATACCCTATTACTATTACGTATAAACGTGAGAGTAATCTAAAGAGGTTTTATCAAAATGATGGGAGGTAATATAATATATTCTTTAAAAATTACAATTATTCTCTTATTATTTCCCATGAATTACATGTACCTGTACCAGTCTTGTGTGTTGTTTTGATTAAAGACACTAGAAAAAAAAAGTTTAAATGATAATAAAGCTATTTATTAAACAATTTTGAACAATATGCTTTAATTTGTTTAACGAAGTCATAAATACTATTCCGGTATACAGAAAGTTCATCGTTTTTTTTAAATTTCAGTTAACTAACATCTGTGTTTAGATACCTAAAAATTCCATTCATTATTTTGCTTAGTTTCAACACCTGCGCATGCGTTGCAAATAACGGAAGTTCTAAAAATCCCGAAATTTAGCCTTTAATTTTTAGAAATTCGCCGACTTCTCGTGGCTTTCCAATGTTTATTTTAGAATGTGTACATTTTCGCAAATTTTTATAGGGAATGGATAGATGTTTCAATTATTGTTTGTTGTTTCTAGATTGTAGTGAAGTGTCACAGTTTTATAGAGGGTCCTGGCTCTTGAAAATTGGGGTCACAAAAGAATTAACAACCATCATTCGCGGCACTGCATAAATTTGTTACTAAATTATAAAAAGGAAAGATATCCAACAATCACTGGATTATAAAGGAAGAAAAAAGAAGAGTCATATTGCGTTAAAAAATTGGATACCTTTAAAGGAAAGAAAGCTTGGATGCCTTTTACAGGATAAAGACAGTACAAAGATCGCACAGCACTCACACAGCAAAAAGTGTCAAATACTATGGCGACCAATGTTGTTGACAGTCCCAGCTGTGAGTTTGTTGAAAGCGATGTCATAGAAATCATCCCTGCAGACGAATATGACTCGAATCGGGTAAGTATTGATAATAAACATTTATTAACAGCAGTAGGAAGTATCAGCTTCAACTTAATGGCTTAAAGCACAAATATATTCTATTTCATTCAGGCTTACTCTTAGTCTTAGACTAACTTAGACTTTAAATCATGTCATTCATTTATTGGAAATTGGATTGATTCTTTATCCTTTACTTCAAATGACATAATTGTCATAATTAGTATGAAATGTTGATAGCATTCCGATTGATTCAAAAGTCAAAATCTCCAGTTAAGTTTGTTTCATTTTCTTCTCTCTGTTTATATAATAATAATGCCTATATTTATAAAGTATAAGTCATATCTAATTCAGATAATGTCACATTTTAATTTTAATAACTTATTCCCTTCCCTCGAAACAACAAAAAAAAAAAAGCCAACATTGTATGTATTGTTAATTTTATGTAAACCATCATTTATTGTTATTTTTAATTGTAATTTCCATCTTTTTTGTTTGTTGTTGTTACTCTTCCGTGAAAACTTCTTTATTTAATATTTTTTTGCACGTAGCTTATCTTCTATAAAGTTAATATCATAAATTATGTTTTATAATATCCTTTAATGGAAAAATTTAATTTTAACATTGATGTAATGATATTGTGAGTACAAATAGTTAACATTTACAAAAATGATAAATATTTCAATTACTTATAAGGTACCTAATTTAGATAGCCAACATAAATCGAGGAGTTCCAAAATGTAAGTTCAATATTTCTATCACCATGGTGTCAGGACAACATGCCAGAATGGCTACTGGATGATTATGATGAAGATCTATCATTGTGTAATTGTGGCAGTAATGCCCAGTGTTGTTTGGGATACTTATAATTTTATAAAAATATCATCCACAGGACAAATTAAATTGGCACCCACACTGTCTGATTTAACTGACCAGTTAAATTTAAATGTTTTTTTTTTTTAATTTTAAATATTTTATAGAAATAAAATAATCCTGCAAAATCTTATGATGATGCCACCTTTAAGATACAACATTATGCTACCCATCTGGCCAAATTTTCTGAAGTGAACACTGACATGGTTTGCTGAATTCACTTGTAACACCTATAAAACATAAGTGTTCCAAGATATAAACATTGTTATTTCCAATTAAACAACTCGTGAAATTAAATAACAGTTGTTTTTTTTATACTGGGTGCATGGTAGAGATAAATAATAGAATAACAAGTTGAGTCTTTTTAAATTAGAGTGTTTATCCCCTTAAATTGGCGTACAGACTGTTTTCCTCAACTATAGACAATTTCACATCATCCCTGCAAGGAATTTATCTGAAGAGATATAAATATCTTAAATGTTTTTAACGGCCTTATTTCCTAAAGCCTTTTCTTTTATTCAACTACTGTATAAAAGGAATGCCCTTTCAGCTATTTTGAAGTATTTTTTCATACAAGGCATGCTGTTTTATTTAAACGTAGCAATACATCTTGTCACATTCTTTAATATCTTTCATCAATAAGGGTACATCCCAATGTCATTCAGTGTTACATGTGACTTCGCTTCCATGCTCCAGGGCCTTTTGGGAATTTCACGCTTGTTATTTCGAAAGGAGCTTGCTGCTAATCAGTTGTAGTTGTCTTTATACACTGCACAAGTTTTCTCTATTAATTGAAACTTTACAACTTAAATCAGTTGATTATATGTACCCTTGGTCACAATGTTAACACAAACACACATGCACACACACACACACACACACACACACACACACACACAAAGAAATAATGTGGCCCATTATTTCCAGCCCCTATGAAAATGGCTACATGACTGGATTGTAAATCAATTCTACTGCCATATGATTCTTGTTCCTGCTGAGGCTTTTCAGAGAAGCTTTATTCTGACAAAAGGGACTGAAACTTTATGAATCAAATAGATGAGAAAGTGTGAAAGCTTTAGTCAGTGAAAAGGAAAAGACACAAACGTTATGTGGTGGTGGGGGGGGGGGCGCTGTAAACAAGTGTTGGAGAAAAGTTGTTTTGCCCAAAATGGAGTGTTTTCTTGTGACATAGCATGGGTTGTAAAAGGGACTGAAACTTTATGAATCAAATAGATGAGAAAGGGTGAAAGCTTTAGTCAGTGAAAAGGAAAAGACACAAACGTTATGTGGTGGGGGGGGGGGGCGCTGTAAACAAGTGTTGGAGAAAAGTTGTTTTGCCCAAAATGGAGTGTTTTCTTGTGACATAGCATGGGTTGACCCTATATTTAACATATGTGAGGATTGGGCTAAAAGCCATTTTAAAAAAATTAAAAAATCTTATAATTAGTAATAGGGCCCCACAGTTGAGACCTACCCTTAGTAAAGTAGGTTTATATTTAAATTAGCCAATGTAAAAATAAACTGACCCAGATCTGTCATAACTGGCTATGAAATGTGCATTCACTGGAACACACTGTGTTATGTTTGTGGTTTCTCTACTGCTTGTATTTGTGAATGTCTTATAGGGCTTTGAGAAAAAAAAATAAAAGGAGGATTGGGAGCGGTGGATTCTTGTGATTTGAATAGTCATTTTGTCATGTATTATATTTACATTGTTATAAATGTCATCAACATAGTTCCCACATTATCACATATCGGTAGGCTATTGCTTGTTCAAAGATGGGGGATCAGTTATTTAGACATCTTACATTGGTTGGTGTCTTGGTTGAGTTCGCTTGATGAGCACTGCTTGGAATAATGATGAGGTGAAATAGGAGTCCAGCGCACTGATTGCCTGTTGCAGGTCACACCACTTTGTTTTTCATCATGTAGTAGCAGTGCTGATTGTCAGGTGGGTCTGCTACAGCTCATTTGATAACATGAGTCATGTCATGTAAGTCAAAGATCATGGCCTGGACAATATTGTTCTTAATTATTAATAAGGTCACATACATTCTGATAGGACTGTAACTACAAGGCCACATACAGTCTGATAAAACTGTAACTATAAGGCCACATACAGTCTCATACAACTGTAACTATAAGGCCACATACAGTCTGATAAAACTGTAACTATAAGGCCACATACAGTCTCATACAACTGTAACTATAAGGCCACATACAGTCTAATACAACTGTAACTATAAGGCCACATACAGTCTGATACGACTGTAACTATAAGGCCACATACAGTCTGATACCACCGTAACTATAAGGCCACATACAGTCTCATACAACTGTAACTATAAGGCCACATACAGTCTGATACGACTGTAACTATAAGGCCACATACAGTCTGATACCACCGTAACTATAAGGCCACATACAGTCTCATACGACTGTAACTATAAGGCCACATACAGTCTCATACAACTGTAACTATAAGGCCACATACAGTCTCATACAACTGTAACTATAAGGCCACATACAGTCTGATACGACTGTAACTATAAGGCCACATACAGTCTCATACAACTGTAACTATAAGGCCACATACAGTCTCATACAACTGTAACTATAAGGCCACATACAGTCTGATACGACTGTAACTATAAGGCCACATACAGTCTCATACGACTGTAACTATAAGGCCACATACAGTCTGATACGACTGTAACTATAAGGCCACATACAGTCTCATATAACTGTAACTATAAGGCTACATACAGTCTCATACAACTTTAACTATAAGGCTACATACAGTCTCATACAACTGTAACTATAAGGCCACATACAGTCTCATACAACTGTAACTATAAGGCTACATACAGTCTCATACAACTGTAACTATAAGGCTACATACAGTCTGATACAACTGTAACTATAAGGCCACATACAGTCTCATACGACTGTAACTATAAGGCCACATACAGTCTCATACAACTGTAACTATAAGGCCACATACAGTCTCATACAACTGTAACTATAAGGCCACATACAGTCTCATACAACTGTAACTATAAGGCCACATACAGTCTGATAAAACTGTAACTATAAGGCCGCACACAGTCTCATACGACTGTAACTATAAGGCCACATACAGTCTCATACAACTGTAACTATAAGGTCACATACAGTCTCATACAACTGTAACTATAAGGCCACATGCAGTCTCATACAACTGTAACTATAAGGCCACATGCAGTCTCATACAACTGTAACTATAAGGCCACATACAGTCTCATACAACTGTAACTATAAGGCCACATACAGTCTCATACAACTGTAACTATAAGGCCACATACAGTCTCATACAACTGTAACTATAAGGTCACATACAGTCTCATACAACTGTAACTATAAGGCCACATACAGTCTCATACAACTGTAACTATAAGGCCACATACAGTCTCATACAACTGTAACTATAAGGCTACATACAGTCTCATACAACTGTAACTATAAGGCCACATACAGTCTGATACCACCGTAACTATAAGGCCACATACAGTCTCATACGACTGTAACTATAAGGCCACATACAGTCTCATACAACTCATTGATATTCCGGTGTATGTCTCTCATACAACTGTAACTATAAGGCCACATACAGTCTGATACGACTGTAACTATAAGGCCACATACAGTCTCATACAACTGTAACTATAAGGCCACATACAGTCTCATACAACTGTAACTATAAGGCCTCGCTGCTGCCAATCTTTTGGTTAATTTTTTAAAATAAATATTAACATTTTCTTGTTAGTCCTACCCTTAAAGTTTTACCGGACATTTCAAGCCGAGCTCGTCCCAGGGAAAGGAAAAGTTCCTATTTAGTGTTCCCATATTGATACAAAGGACCAAAAGGCTTGGTGTACTCCCTTTCATTTCCGTGCCGTCTGCCATAGGTGTGAGGTCAAGTGTACGCGTTCATAGGGGTGGTTGAGAAATGTGTCCGTCTGATTCAATGAAGGCTCTCGTTAACTTGACCCGTAAGAAAATCACCTAACGATCGAGTCACTAAGCCACTAAGCATGGAGGGTGCACTGTAACCTACAGGACATACTTTGACTGCTTCATTGACGGATACACTGGCAACTTCTCTATACATTTGCAACCCATCGGAATTTTTTTTTTAAATTGAAGAGTTGTTTTTTTTTTTTTGGGGGGGGGGGTTTGTGTTGAGGTGGTGGTAGAGAGAACAAATAAAACTATTTAACANTTGTCCCGTCAACTCTAATCCGTAACAATTGATGCACTTTCAAAGACATAGACATTAAAAAAAAAACATCCTTTCCATTCTGATCATCTTTTTCATTCCCCAACCCAGCATTTCAACTTTGCACTAACATGTTTTAAAAAGAAAACAGAAGAAGAGAAAAAGCGTCGCTTGAAACTCCTCCGCTGAATAAGCTGCACTGTTGCACCTTTGACTTTGGTGGCGAATGTCATCGGGATATTTTCTGTCAACAGTCTGTTGAATAGACTTTCTGGTCCCAGCCGTGTGGCGTGTGGCGGGGGGTCGCGCTTTAATAGTTGCACGCCTTCTGCCAGTGGTCTCTGTACCATTACACCATCAAACCCAACCATCAATGTTGCCACAAATGACATCCACACCATCAAGTAAAGCGACTGCACAAACTGCAATGTCCAACTTTTGAATGACCGTTACGACCAGTGGCGTGTCAATGGATAGTGCCAATATTTTTGTCACCCAATTCTGCGAACCCCCCCCCCGGTCTTGGTTGAAAATGCCGCCCCCCAGTATAATAATATAAGTGCCGCCCACGTCCGTCCGACCCCTCCGCTCCCCCCTTCCTACGCTTCTGATTAAATTTTGAAGATACACAAATTGTTTAAAATAAGTCATGAGGATAAACAAATCCACCATCGGATACCTTGAGGTAGACCTTTTACCCCAGGCCACTATTCTGCGGAGTATCTGTCAGAGGATAGCATGGGGATCCCCGGTACGTTCAAATAGTACTAACTATGACTAAGCTACTCCGTAAAGGTGCACCGTTATTGACGTGTGGTGAACGGACAAGAATTTTTTTGGTAGGAGCTTTGGGGTGCGTCAATATGTATAGTGTGGTGGTTGTTTTAGGGACATACCGGTTAGCAAGTGGTTTGGGCGTTCAGGAAAAAAAAACTATTTTAAAACCTAAACCGTTGGGTGTTATTTCGTGTTTAGGCGTTGGTTCGGATAGCATGTCCCCCATGCTGACAGGCTACGAGGCCAATAAAACATACGACAGGATCTGGGGATAAGGTGGGGGAGGGGGGGAGTCGAGGGCTGATGTTGGGGGATATTTGTGAGATTGAGAAAGTGAGGATGGGCATAAAAATTGAGGAAAGGTGTTGGTTTGGGCGGAGGGGGGCCTTGGGGTATTGGGCAGGTTTGGTGTTGGGGCATTGATCGTGTTTGGTGTTGGGGTATTGGGCAGGTTTGGTGTTGGGGCATTGGCCGGGTTTGGTGTTGGGGCATTGGTCGTGTTTGGTGTTGGGGCATTGGCCGGGTTTGGTGTTGGGGCATTGGTCGTGTTTGGTGTTGGGGCATTGGTCGTGTTTGGTGTTGGGGCATTGGTCGTGTTTGGTGTTGGGGCATTGACCGGGTTTGGTGTTGGGGCATTGGTCGTGTTTGGTGTTGGGGCATTGGCCGGGTTTGGTGTTGGGGCATTGGCCGGGTTTCATGCGGGCGACTTGGGGAAAAGGTATAAGGGTTTACATGTCAATTTCCAATGACATAATTGGGTTTTGCACATCTGATAAGACTCCATAGGCAGAGAGCTTCCACCGGAATCCGCCTCTGAGAGCATATTATCTATGCCCTGTGCCAGTGTATTGTAAAATTCAATTAATCTTGTCAGTGATTTAAAATATGAGGAGTAATCCCCACCCAAAGTCCCATGCTTTGTCAAAACCGAACGTCCTCAAAGCGAAACCGCGCCGTGCGTCCCATTTCCATTGAGTTTTGATGTCTTGTTTGGCTTCTCGTGACAGTGCTGTGTAAATTGTTATTGCACGTCTTGAAGTTTGATGGATGCAGTGCAGGGAGATTACGGCACGCCGTGTCCGTTATTCTCCAACGACGTGTGTTAAAATGCTTGCTAATGATACATGTCACATGTGTTAGGGCCTGATTATACTGAGAGCGTTAAGGTTATTAAACAGATGTGTGTTGTGTTCACATGAGACGTTAGATATTTAAAAAAAAAAAAAAGATTTTTTATAGATGTGCTGTCGGGCGAGGAAAGTGTTTTATCTGCTGTTCGGGCCGAGTTTCCGCCCGTAAGAAGCTGTCAGATTGAGTGTGATAAATGTGCTTGCCGTCGCCGGCGGTTCTGATAGGATATTGTGTCATACCGTCGTGCCGCCCGTTGAACACGGATAGTAGTGGTATATGAACACGGGTCTTATACTATAGTAAGAGGGAATGCGGGTCGGCATCCTTGCTCCAGTGAGCTGTGTCCTGCTGTACGATTGACATTTTATAGTGAGGGCACTCGCAAAGACCCACTCCTTTGCTTCTCATCCAGTGTTCGCGTACTGTTGTGTTACTCTGGTCCCAGTGCTGTCCCTCCGTAGGATCTCCGTGGGTATTCATATGCCTCGGGATCGCCTGTTTGTATACGTAGCTCGCAACGACTTTGAAAATAGATTTATAAGGCGTGCGTCGTACCACCCAGGCTATTTAATAAATGACTGTTCAGAGTTTCCCCATCTCTCACCTACGACTTCTGCTCCATGCGCCTGGTTCAGTGCTATTTCGACGTCGGTAGATTATAATTTATGTCAGTCATTATCACCAAGCTCCTCACTGCTCACTTCCAGTGCTTCTATTTTTTACCTGCGGCTGACTCATCGTGAGTCGCGTGGTGTTGTACAACACCGGCATCCATCTATCCGAGTCCTGATATCACTTTACCCTACTCATTTTTTTTTTTCTGCAATTTTTTGGTGTTTCCTATCCGTTAAGAGATATGATCGCTTTCATAGTTTCTCACGTCTGACAGTCTGGTCAAAACTAACGCTGAACACCTCGCTGGCCTTATGTACGCGTACCTGTCAGCTGTTTGATGCTGTGTCAAAGAAGGTTATCATAAGCTATGACATAAGACTTTATTGAGCTAATTTATACTTATCTATATATTTAGAGCACATATAATTTTAGTGTATGAAGGAAATAGTTAAACTTCTCATGTTGAAGCTTGGAAAATTGGGCTTTAAATATGTAAACTTTTGAGCAAGTACACCAAGTTTGGAGCTTCTGGGATTATTATTTTAGTAGTTATGGTTTCACCAAAAATGGACTATTTGACAAAATGAAAAATAGCCAATTTCCTATCCATTTTTATCAAATTTTGAAACTTCATAACTTTTTTTTATTTATTGAGCTATTGTAATAAACCAGGTATCAAAATTCTTGTATTAAAAAGTTCTATCAAGTGAGAGTCCTTAAAACAGTCTACATTTAAAGATAAATTTTGGTTTGGACTACCTAAATAAAGGCTTCAACATACCTAGTCACTCTGTTTCGTTCAAACAGCTTGAACTCAGCACTTCGTTTATTATCATTTAGTATATGACGCATCCACGAAAAGACGTCACTGGATAGGCGTAATACAAAAAAAAAAAAATATTTAAAAAATATGAATGCTAATAAAACGGTATGAGTAAATCAAGGGAAGTTACTCTCATAATGACACACCATGCAAACGTCAAGTCATGAAGAAAAATGTCTAAAAATAAAGTTGGTTACGTGATCGCGTCATCATCTTTGTAACATCAGTTGTTTGATTAATCAAGGCCAGAGGTTTGATTAATCAAGGCCAGAGGTCAGCGCTTAAAAACTTTGGCTGAACCCAGCACATTACCCCCCCCCCCCTCCCCCCCCCCCACCCCCCCCCCNGGGCAGTGACGCGGTGCATCCTAATTAAATACCTCCCTGGTCGAGCTCCCCAAAATGGTGTCCCCCCCCCCCCCCAAAAAAAAACACGTAATCTGCCGTCATAAACCGTTGACAGTTGACCGACTTGACCTATATTTCCAAGGGAACCCCTCGTCGATACTGCGGTGACATCACTAGGAAATACGCGGTCAGCGCTATTTATAGATGATCGGGATTCACCCCCTGCTGACATTGATTAGTAAAATTCAATGTATTTATTTGTAGCGCGCCAATAGGTATTGGTGGTTGCCATTTATAAATATAAATACTTTTTAAAAAAATCAGTAATATGTCTTTGTTATTGTGCTTGTAAAAAAAAAAGGGTTAAAAAAAAATTATCAACGTTTGGGGTTAAAGTTATACTGGCGTTATAGTTATAATAGCGTTATTGCTATACTTTCATTATAGTTATGATACTGATAGCGTTATAGTTATGATAGCGTTATGCCCGTACTGTCATTATAGTCATACTTTCATTATAGTTATACTGGAGTTATAGTTATACAAGTTGAGAGGTCTGACCAAACCATTTTGAGCTCTAGGCATGGCTACGGAAAGAAACACAAATCAATAGCCCCAATTTAAGAGGCAGTGATTTTTGATAGTTTATGTCTTGCCACTTTCAACGACAAGTTGTTGAAGTTGACACAGGCAGCGCTCACTCTGTTAACATATTGGGACATATTTCAACATCATGTATGGCTTGATGTTCTGAGGTGATGTTAACAACCGATCTTATGAGGATGTTAACAACCGATTTTATGAGGATGTTTACAACTGATCTTTTGATGATTGTGAACAACTGATCTTATGAGGATTTAAACAACTGATTTTATGATGATTGTTAACAACTGATCTTATGAGGATGTTTACAACTGATCTTTTGATGATTGTGAACAACTGATCTTATGAGGATTTAAACAACTGATCTTTTGATGATTGTGAACAACTGATCTTATGAGGATTTAAACAACTGATCTTATGATGATTGTTAACAACTGATCTTATGAGGATTTAAACAACTGATTTTATGATGATTGTTAACAACTGATCTTATGAGGATTTAAACAACTGATCTTATGATGATTGTTAACAACTGATCTTATGAGGATTTAAACAACTGATTTTATGATGATTGTTAACAACTGATCTTATGAGGATTTAAACAACTGATCTTATGATGATTGTTAACAACTGATCTTATGAGGATTTAAACAACTGATTTTATGATGATTGTTAACAACTGATCTTATGAGGATTTAAACAACTGATCTTATGATGATTGTTAACAACTGATCTTTTGATGATTGTTAACAACTGATCTTTTGATGATTGTTAACAACTGATATTTTGATGATTGTTAACAACATATCTTTTGAGGATTTAAACAACTGATCTTATGATGATTGTGAACTAATTATTGTATGATGATTGTTAACAACTGATCTTATGATGATTGTTAACAACAGATATTATGATGATTGTTAACAACTGCTCTTATGATGATTGTTAACTACTTATTGTATGATGATTGTTAACTACTTATTGTATGATGATTGTTAACAACTAATATTATGATGATTGTTAACAACTGATCTTATGATAATTATTAACAACTGATCTTACGAGGATGTTAACAACTGATCTTATGATGATGTTAACAACTAATCGTCTGCTGGTGTAAACAAATGTTGTCGACATCTGATCTCAGGATGATATTAACGACGACTCTTGATGGGGCTGTTCTCAGTTGCTGTTCACCAAGCTGTAACGTAACCAATACGTTCTGACCTAAGCACGTTGATTCACAAAGTGCACTGGGATGACAACACGTTCAACACGTGTAGTCCTAGTATCAAGAACACTGATCTGATTGCTGCAGTTCTCCTGTGTATCTTGGTGAGTCAACTACAGGAAAACCCCACAACTCACCTGGAAACAATAAATCCATACTTACCCCACCCCCTTCTCTCTCTCTCTCTCTCTCTCTCTCTCTCTCTCTCTCTCTCTCTCTCGTGTACACCTCTCTCTTCGCTCGCGCCTGGGGAGCTCTTGGTAAAAAAGCGCTCCCCACCTTATCAAGAACACTGATCTGATTGCTGCAGTGCTCCTGTGTATCTTGGTGAGTCAACTACAGGAAAACCCCACACCTCACCTGCAAACAATAAATCCATACTCACCCCACCCCCTTCTCTCTCTCTCTCTCTCTCTCTCTCTCTCTCTCTCTCTCTCTCTCTCGTGTACACCTGGCTCTTCGCTCGCGCCTGGGGAGATCTTGGGAAAAAAGCGTTCCCCACCTTTAGTTGCGCGGGTGAGTAAAAACCAACCGGTCGTGAATTCACCGCTATAAATAGTTGGTTGACAATGGCGGTCAACGGGTTTTTTTTTATTCGGCCAACGTCTGTGTTATTTAAACGCCATGCGATCTGCCCGTTAGATTGAAACAGAACTTGTTGAAGAAATAAACCGGCTGGATGTACCTAGGCCAGGATGAACAGATGCCTGCTCCCAACTCTTAGGGGATAGTTAGGTACAACAACAAAAAAATGGTGGTGGAATGTGTGAGTCCTGGTGACGAGCAGTACCCGGGGCCACAGTTTCAGGTCTTTGTTGACGTAAGTAGACGGATCTTGTTTGACATTAGGTGCTTTGCTTTGTCCCATTTAAAAAAAAAATCATCTATAGGTAAAGGGGTGGAAGGGGTGTACCGTGTGTTAGGATGGACAATTGTAATGTTAACATGCCACATTTGTGTTCAGTGGGTCGACACTGGTTGGTAACTTCAGCAAAAAGACTCTATGTACCCAATTTGTTGATATAAATTAAAATATGGTGTTTGTATAGTGATTAGAATGTAAGACTGAGACTCATTCATTAAGCCGGACCAGTAGACGCGCTCTCGTGTGACTTGACGTGGCGGTGTCAGGACTGGACGTGCACAACATGTAATGCCGACGTAAGACGGCGCGCAACATGATTTGTTTCCAAAGTAAGGCGGTGCTTAACATAAACGGCGCGTAACATGATTTTGCCAAAGCAATACGCTAGGTAATAAATGATGATGGAGTAAAACGGTGCTTTACATGATTTAGCAGGAGTAAGATCGTGCGTATTAGGATTTTTCCGAAGTATCACAGTGGGTAGCATGATTTTTCCGAAGTAAGACGGTGGGTAACAAATGTTGCCGAAATATGACGGGGAATAATTAAAATTTCATCCTATTTTACATTCACATCACTCAAATGTATAACTATCAACTGCGGTTAACTTTATTTCTTTTATAACTGAAACATGTCCACTAAAGAACAGTTGCTTCACGATTTGCTGTATGGGTATCATTATGAGAGTTACTTCCCTTGATTCACTCATTTCTTCAGATTCCTTCAATTGTAATATATTCCTGACCCACCTTCTAACACCTTTAGTGAAATAAATAGATTTGGTTATCTCAGCGTGGAGGAGAGAACGGTCAATCTTTCAAAAGTTTGCATACTTTAAATAATACACCTTATTGTAATCCTGCTAACCCCCAGTCACTTTGTTGTATTTTAAATACCACCCAGTAGGCATTTCGTCTTCACACCCCGTTATAATCCAGCACTTGACCTACCTGAGTGGGAGCGCGGGGCGGGACTTGCTTGTGGATTAGTCAGCTGTCACGCCGTACGACATAGCGAAAGTCTCAGAGTGTATCAGTGAGTGTATCAGTGAGTGTATCAGTGAGTGTATCAGTGAGTGTATCAGTGAGTGTATCAGTGAGTGTATCAGTGAGTGTATCAGTGAGTGTATCAGTGAGTGTATCAGTGAGTGTATCAGTTCTGTATAAAGTGATGGGATTTTGAAATATGGCAGCGTCTTATCTATGCCACCCAGAGTCAGGAGCTAAGCCGCAGTGTTGAGTTTTCTATGTCTGTGCACAGGAGACGCTGGCCTCCATGTTACCCTAGCGATTCTGTCCTTGCATCTATTGGGCTGAAATCCTAAACATAACATTGTGATGTTGGAAGTTCATTTAAAATCAGAGTACATACAGTACATCGTACTCGTTCGTGTACAGTTGTGTGTTAAGCACGAAACAGACTGGTTGCCTAAACTGTTAGCTAATACAGTTCTCGTTGAAGCTAGGTCGTCCAACGAACCTGCCCCCCCCCCCCCAAAATCGCAACCGCACACACACGCACGCCCACACACACGCACGCCCACACACACGCACACACACACGCACGCCCACACACACGCACGCCCACACAGTGTATTGTCGTATATTGACATTAGGATGGGCTTGAGTTTGAGATTAACCAACGTTGTTTCTATATCAGTTCTGTTATAATCCGTATTAAACTCACACGCTCAAATTAAAGCAATCCTTGTCAGACCAGGCCAGGGTTTACCTATTGGGTGGGCAGTTCATAACCAAGCCCCCCACCCCCTACCGCTCCACAGACCTGCCCAATATAAACAAAAACATTCTTGGCATGCCGGGGTCATGTTTACATTCACGCCAGGTCCTTCTGGTTTGGCCCTTGAAAAGTTGCAACCAGGTGATAGGGCTGTGGTGGTTGGGGGGGGGGGCTTACTGCTACTGAACTGTGACCTCAATCAGTTGCACTCCTTTAGTTCTATGTCCGGTCTCCTTGGCCCAAAACCTCGATTTAATTTGGTCCAGTTTAATTGAATGTAATTTAGTTGTCCCACGCGATTAGCTCAAACTATACTATGCAAATAAATGGGAGTTGACAAGAAAATAAGATAATTATCCAATGCTTGCTGAGCCTACTGTTCAAGTGAAACTTTTAACTACTAACTGGGACCATTTACTACGTCTAGTTGAGACCATTTACTGTTTTTTAAGGGTATAATTACTTCTAGTTAAAACTTAATAATTAGTTCTAGTTAAAGTTAAAACTTACTTATTACTTCTGGTTAAAACTACCGACTACCACCAGCTAATAAGAAAAATAAAAAGTCCAGACTTTATATATATATAAATGTATATATAATAAATGTATATAAATATCAATATGTATATATATATATGTATATATTATACATTATCAGCACTGACACTTTTGAAGTGGAAATGGGCCAACATCTATCCATTTCGGCCTAAAGACATCCATTGATGTTTGGTGTGTTTATTTACAGCACCCGGTTGTCGACAGTGATAGAGATTTGGGACTGTTGTATTGTGGAAGTGGCTAATACTGTTTGTATGCGACAGCGACATAACTTGGCCATGACGCGAATGTGATCAATAAAGTGGCACATCTGTTAGGTCTTTAGGACGTAAGCCTTCAATGGGGTCCCACGGCATGTCTACAATCTTCCCTCTCATTGCGCCTAGTTGGTATATTATTAGAAACGTTCGGTTAACTAACGTCTCCTGCTATATGACAGCGTCAGCCAGTTATCTTATTGGGGTGCATACGTTTAGCAGGTATGAGTTCTTTTTGTTTTTGGGTGACTCAGCTTGATGGGGAGATAGTCGATATTATAGTTGCACTGGGAACGTATGGGGAAGAAACGTAATCCATCTATGTTTGAAATACCGCGTTAGAGGGTATTGGATAATCTCAAGGCTCACATTTCACGACATTGGTGGTTGGCCAAGAGAAACCGAAATTAGGCTTTAAGAAAGGGGGGGGGGGGGAGGTGGGGGGGATGCAAGGGTGTGTGGGGAACAGTTTGTTTTGTCATTATTTGTGGATTACTCTGAGAAAGTGATTTTTTTTTTAAAGATGGTCGACATTGGTGGTTGGCCAAGAGAAACCGAAATTAGGCTTTAAGAAAGGGGGGGGGTGGAGGTGGGGGGGATGCAAGGGTGTGTGGGGAACAGTTTGTTTTGTCATTATTTGTGGATTACTCTGAGAAAGTGATTTTTTTTTTAAAGATGGATTGAGATGTCATGTGGCATGCAGCAATAAGACATTGCGAAAGTTATTCCTTAGTCTACTTGTCTGTCGACTAGTTTTGGTACTTAGTTTCAATTTGTATCAAATTTGAACATTTTTAAATATTTTTTTTCCTTGTTTATATATTTTTTTTCAATTCAAAAAAATTTCACATCCTAGTTTTCATTTTCTCTGTTACCCGGTACCACTAAGACGTGTCCCTTTTCCGAAAATTGCTACGCAAACGATTTATTAGGTCCGACTTCAGAAAGGCATTTTATAACTGTTATTGATAGATTTAAAACTTTTGTATTTAAATAACATATGTTGACACTTACCTGAAACTTATTAAATTTGGCAGCAACTTAATTTTATAAATGCACTAACTGCATGTCGATGTTATAGTGTGGTGGTCGTGCATGACTTTTAAGAACCACTGATTTGTGTGTCTGTTCAATTGAAATCCATTTTGATACATGATCATCAAAAAAATCGGCCTTCTGCGGTGATCTTTTCAGTCCTTTATTCTCCGCCCGAGGGGATTTTAAACTCAATGTCCCTTTAGATTTTTTTTTTTGGATATGTGCCTGCATAATCTCATTTCAATTGGTCACATATTTCGTGTGCAGTATTGGTTTTTTTAAGGAATGTATGTTGAGAGCTGACCCAGGCATGCTGGTCGAACTTCTTATTCTACTTACTCTGTCAGACGCAACATTTTTTTTTGTGTCAGTTACTTTCTAAGTCTGTTTGGGAATATTTTGTCAGCACATTACATGCTGTGTTTCACCAGTGGTGTGGTTGTTACAGACATTCATTTACCGTCATAAGGTGTTGACCAATACATGAAATCGAACTCGATTGTGTGTGTGCTTGTGATTCTGCAGGCTGTGCTCATAACCTAACATTAATAAGGAGAATGAAGTACTTTAATAGCAGCTATGTGATCCGATTATTTAAAGACATGAGCGCTAGCCTAACCGTAAGGAGAATGAAGTGCTTGAGTAAATGCGTGACATTGTTGGAAATCAAATAAACGATTCACATACATTCCTGGATATTTTGAAGAACACGCCTGATTGAATGTGAGAAACTTGAACCATGGTGAAAAGCACCTCCATTTGAACATTGAGTTTGTTGAACCTGAACTGAGACAGCACGCGCCAGTTTGCACGTTTTAGTGCACATTGTGTTATGGATTTGTGAGTGTGCAGCTTCTTCATCATAACGGAAATTGGGTTTGTTAACAATTTGTTGTTGCTATAAAAAGCCCCTGCCAGGTGTGACATGTGTTGTCGGAAATACAATTGTCAATGAAGATCAAGTCCCTATAACAGCTGCCGTGTTCGCCGCCCTCACTGTTTGAACCTACACGTTTGGGGGGTGCATCTATCCTTTTGGTTGGGCTTCGTATCTCTTTTTTTTTTTCCTTGACCACCCCGCCGCCATGGAATCATCGCACCCTAACAAGCTGAGCCCCCAGAGCAGTAGTGACGAGGATGACGTTTTTCTATCATTTGAAGAAGAGGATGGTGCCGAAGCTTCAACCACCACAGACGAGTTTGGACGCAGTGGTGACACTCAGGTGCCCGGTGGTTGGAACGTGGCTGCTCCTTGTGCAAGAGAAGATGAGGGATTTCTTCCTGGGTTCGCCAAAAAAAATGATCCTTTGGGATCTCATCATGAGGTGTGCTATGATGTCACATCTGACGGGGGATCGCCTCACCCACAGGCTAGTGGGGCGACACATACAGACACTGAGAGTGTTCATACACAACCCGAAGAGCGGTGCACTAGGGATGTCTCATTGAACGCTACTAGACGTGCAGCAGACACTTGCAGTGTCAGTGCTGAGGTTCGTAGTAACGCCATTCGAAGAAATCAGTTAACTGGACACCATGAGCCTCCAGTGAGATCCGACGGTCTGAACAACAGGGATCAGGTGAGCGAGACGGAGGAGTACTTTGAGACCAGGACAAGTGTGTCCAGTTCACTAGCAACAAGCAGTAACCCGTCTTTTGAAGAATATGGAGACACATTGGATTCAGGACTGGGTGGCTGTCTACCCTCAGACCTGCATGCACTAAAAGATTCAGATTTAGTGGATTGTGTACAGTCAGACTTAAGTGTACCATCAGACTTATGCGTACTTAATGATCCAGAGCTTGGTGCATGTGTACCCTCAGACCTACAGTTACTTAAAGACTCAGAAATAGGTGATTGTGCACCATCAGACTTGTGTGAACTTTGTGATACTGAACTGGATAATGGAGATTGTGCACCATCAGACTTAGGGGTACTTAGTGTACTTAGTGATTCTAAACTGGATAATTGTGTATCCCAAGACCCTCATATACATGATGATTCAGAATTAGGTGGATGTGTACCTTTAGACTTGCGTGTACTCAACGATTCTGTGGACGGCGGTTGTAGAATATTAATTACATCCCTTACAAAAAGCCCTGAAATAGTCCATAGTCAATCGTGCTCTTTGTTCACAAGAGACTCTTCTCTTCAAGGGAACGAAACTGTGGTTCCTGATCAATGTTGTGATATATCATCCCATTGCCAACCCATATACCCATCAGGTCCTTCAAGATACCAGTCACATGAAGCTGAGCTTAATAAATACAGTATTGCATTGCCTGAAGCTCTACAAGACTGTGCTTCACCAGAGCCACTTGACTTGTCCATAGCCATTCAGGATACACAAATCTCCATACAGAGACCATCAGGAGCAGGAGAAGCATGTTTGTGTTCAGAGATTCCATTAACTAAGGATGTAAATGCAACACCAAGATTAGATTCACAAATGGAAATATCAGTCGACACATATCAACAGTTGGAAACAGCATCTACCCCTGAGTCTGTAGAAACAGCATCCATTCTAGGGTCACAACTTGAAACATCAGTCAACACGTATCAACAGTTGGAAACAGCTGTAACGCCTTTGCAGATAGAAACACTGTCAGTTCCACCCACACAATTAGAAACATCACATGCCTTACTCACCCAACTAGAAACACCGTCAGTTCCACCCACACAATTAGAAACATCACCTGCCTTACTCACCCAACTAGAAACACTGTCAGTTCCACCCACACAATTAGAAACAGCACATGCCTTACTCACCCAACTAGAAACACCGTCAGTTCCACCCACACAATTAGAAACATCACCTGCCTTACTCACCCAACTAGAAACACCATCAGTTCTAACCACACAATTAGAAACATCACATGCCTTACTCACCCAACTAGAAACACCATCAGTTCTATCCACACAATTAGAAACATCACCTGCCTTACTCACCCTACTAGAAACACCATCAGTTCTATCCACACAATTAGAAACATCACCTGCCTTACTCACCCAACTAGAAACACCATCAGTTCTATCCACACAATTAGAAACATCACCTGCCTTACTCACCCTACTAGAAACACCATCAGTTCTATCCACACAGTTGGAAACACCACCCACCTTACAATTAGATGCAGTGACAGAAACACCATCATCAGGGGTATGTCAGTCACCTGAGCCACCTGCAAACACATTCAGACCACCTGATACAGAATCAACCACCTCAACATCACTTGAAACACTATCAAGGACATCCCCCCAACTGAACACTCCATCTTGGACATCAAGTCCACTCCCCTTAGACTCACCCCTAGAAACTACTACAAGCTTGACAGTATGGGAAGAAAAAAATGGAAAAGAAATAGTTGAAAAAGATATTGAGACACATAGTAATGCTGAAGGACTAGATTTAAGAAAACATTACATGCAAGGAGATGGAAGTATTGTTGAAGGAGAAGAAGTTGTAGTAGAACTGAAGGAAAATTTAAAAAAAATAGAACAAAATACAGATGCAAACAAAGGCTGTATAGAAGCCTGTGGTTTAGTTGAGAGGGAGATCGGCTGTGTAAATAATTTTGAAGCTGAGGAATTAGAAAAGGTTAGAGATAATGTAGAGGAGCAAAAAGTGCAGCTTATAACACAAGAAGAATTTGTGGAGGATGAAATGATACAAGAGAAAGATGAAAGTGAAGAGCATGATCAATTTGTACTAAAGCAGGACGATGCAATCTCGGAGCAAGAACATGAGAATGAAATTGTAGAAGAGCAGCAATATGAAATTGTGGGGCATGAAGAAAAATATGAAATTGTAGAAGAATGGGATGAAATTGTGGAGAAAAAACAGAAAGGGGAAATAGAAGAAGAACTGGAAGATGAAATTGTAGAAGAGCAAGATGAAATCTTAGAAGAACAAGTAGGTGAAATTTTAAAAGAGCACAAAGATGAAAATGTAGAAAAACAAGAAGATGAAAGTATAAAAGAACAAGATGAAATTAAAGAAGAAAAAGATGGAATTATAGATAAACAGGAAGATAACATTGTTGAAGAACAAGAAGAGGAAATTGTAGTACACGATGAAATTGTAGAGGAAAAATATGAAATGGAAGAAGAACATGAAGATGGAATTGGAGAACAAGAAGATGAAATTGAAGGAGAACAAGAAGATGAAATTAAACAAGAACAAGATGAAATCGAAGAAGAACAAGATGAAATAGTAAAAGAACAGGAAGATGAAATTGTAGAAGAGCAAGATGAAATCTTAGAAGAACAAGTAGGTGAAATTTTAAAAGAGCACAAAGATGAAAATGTAAAAGAGCAGGAAGATAAAATTGTAGATGAACAGGAAGATAACATTGTTGAAGAACAAGAAGTTGAAATTTTTCAACAAGATGAAATTGTAGAAGAACAATATGAAATAGTAGAAGAAAATGAAATAGAAGAAAAAGATGAAATTGTAGATGAACATGAAGATAACATTGTTGAAGAACAAGGAGATGAAATTGTACAACAATATGAAATTATAGATGAACAAGATGAAATAGTAGAAGAACAAGATGAAATTTTGGAAGAACAAGAAGATGAAATTATAGAAGAACCAGATGAAATTATAGAACAAGATGAAATTGTTGATGAACAAGAAGATAACATTGTTGAAGAACAAGAAGATGAAATTGTAGAAGAACAAGATGAAATTGTAGAAGAACAAGATGAAATAGTAGAAGAACAAGATGAAATTATGGAAGAAAAAGATGAAATTAAAGAACAAGAAAATGAATTTGAAGAACAACAAGAAGATGAAATTATAGAAGAAAAAGATGAAATTAAAGAACAAGATGATGAAATTGAGCAAGAACAAGATGTAATTGAAGAACAAGATGAAATTGAAGAAGAACAAGATGAAATTGAAGAAGAACAAGATGAAATTGAAGAACGAGATGATGAAATTGAAGAACGAGATGATGAAATTATTGAAGAACAAGATGAAATTATAGAAGAACAAGATGAAATAGTAGATGAACAGCAAGATGAAAGTGGAGAAGATGAAAATGAAATTGAAGAAGAACAAGATGATGAAATTGTAGAAGAACAAAGAGATAAAAGTGAAGAACAAGAAGATGAAATTGAAGAACAAGAAGATGAAATTGAAGAAGAACAAGATGAAATTGAAGAAGAACAAGATGAAATTGAAGAACAAGAAGATGAAATTGAAGAAGAACAAGATGAAATTGAAGAAGAACAAGATGAAATTATAGAAGAACAAGATGAAATAGTAGATGAACAAGATGAAATAGTCGATGAACAAGATGAAATAGTAGATGAACAAGATGAAATAGTCGATGAACAAGATGAAATAGTCGATGAACAGGAAGATGAAAGTGAAGAAGATGAAAATGAGATTGAAGAACAAGATGAAATTGTAAAGGAACAAGATGAAAATGTAGAAGAGCAGGAAGATGAAACTGTAGAAGAACAGGAAGATGAACATGTAGGAGAGCAGGAGGATGAACATGTTGGAGAGCAGGAAGATGAAAATATAGGGGAGCAGTATACATTTCTGAAAGAGCGGAACTTGTTAGGAACCGAGGCAATTTTTTATAGTGATGAAGAAATATCCCCTTGTCCTGAAAAAGATTTAAATAAACTACCTCCAAATGGTAGAATTTTGCAAAAAGTTTTGGAATCTGAACATGAGGATACTCAAGACAACTTCTTTACTGACAATTCTGTAGCATCAAGTGAAATAATGACACCCCCCTCTCAAACTGATAAAATTCCTTTAGTTCCATGGGCCCCCTTTAATCACAATAAAACAATGAGCGCCTCTGAATTAAACCAACATTTACATAGAGCTCCACTGGCAATACAGACTGAAGAAACTCATCCCAATTTATTTAATGTCTCAGATTTGTCTGGGTTTGCACACCGGCTCCCCTCGTGCGTGGACAAACGCGATCCCCCTTCATTGACCGGCCTCACTGAGACCACACACAGACATTACCTGACCCCCGTCGACATGATTATACAGGAGACTTGCGCTGACAGTGATGACCATTCTGATGACTCTTTGATCCAACTTACAGATGATGAGGATGACAACATAAGCGTGGACAGCCTTGGTGAACAGGCTGATCAACCACCGGTGAGGACAGACGGAGGCACCATCAGGCCAACCAGCATGCTGAGTGTTGGGAACCCAAGGCTGAAACCTGGACCCGACTGTTACGGGATGGGGTACCAGGAGCCGCCAGTGCCGCACGTCACCTACGACAGTTTGGACAGCCACCACATGGATGACATGGACGACAGGTCAATGTCGTTGTCTAGTTCAAGTGGCTATTTCAGTCACCAGATCGACAGCCTGGATTTTTATCCAGTCGATAGTTTATCAACCAATGTGTTGGATAGTTCGGATTATTTCTGTGCAGATAGTTTAGTGACTCCGACAATGGATATGGCTGGTGTTCATAATCTTGATAGTTTAGTCACGCCAACAAGGAATTACGTGGATGTGTATGATATGGATGCTTCTTTAACGCCAACTGCGGAAAATATTGGTATCTCTTCTATGGATAGTTTGGCCACCATTTGTGTGGATAATTCCAATTTGTGTTCATTGGATAGGTTTGAATGTCATCAGCTGGATAGTTTAGCTACCAACAAAATGGATAGTTTTGATCATCACCAAATAGATAGTTTAAATTTTTCCCAAGCTGATAGCCTAGTCACAAGTCTCATGGATAGTCTAGCTACTTGTCATATGGATAGTCTAGCTACAAGTCAAATGGACAGTCTAGCTATAAGTCTCAGGGATAGTCTAGCTACAAGTCAAATGGACAGTCTATCTATAAGTCTCAGGGATAGTCTAGATACAAGTCATATGGATAGACGCCATTACGATCCTGTGGATAGCCCAGATTTGCACAACTTGGAAAGATTAAAACAGCTTGAGGATAAACTTTTGCAAATCAGTGCTACACACTTGTCACCAAGCGATAGCTTAGAGGTTCATGAAGATGATAGCTTAGATGAAGAGGAGGAGTATCCATGGTACAGTAAGGCTAGTGCAGTGAGAAGTCTAGGAGGACATCAGCCACTGTCAGATGAAGGGGAACAGGTTTGTTATTTGATACACACGCAGTGCCTTTTTTTCATGTTTTATGTCAAGTTAGTTTGTTCATATTTTAAGCATAAGGTCAGCTTATTTCATTCTGTTATTTTGTATATTCATTTAGTTTAAATGTATTATTTTGTGTTGTATGGTCTGTTTTTATTTGATGCTGATTCACTTCAACATAATCACAATGTATATGACTGGAAAGGGACATTGAATATCAACATTTGACCATTTGTCTTGTAGAGTCAGAGAATGGATAGAAAAATGGCTTTTTCTTCTTTATACTAATTTTATGAAGAAGAGTTAAAAATCAAATGATTAAATCCAGACACGTGCGCCTCGGTCATAGCCCATCTTACTCTTACTACTACAACATATATTGCATGCTGCATATTTATTTTTAATAATTAAAAGTTTGTTGAGTAGTTAAGTAATTCTTGTATTTGGATATTTCTTACCATTTGTTTGTGAATTCCATAGTTTGTGAATCCTACTTGCCCCTCCTGCACCTTCCTATTTAAACAACCTTCCCACCCCTAACTGCAACTCACCTCTTAATCAATTTTTTTGTATGTTGTTGAATAAAAATTACTTTTCATAATCAGTGGCTCACGGTTTCAAATGCATTATGAACTGAGAAACTATGTGGTGGTGTATTGTCATTGTGAATTCATTTTTTACAAAATATTTTTCGTTTTTCTGTTTTAGGCCAAGCTGCGCTCCTCACTTTCTTGGCTCCTGTCTAAAGTCTACGGAAGCAATGTTCCCAAAGAACTGCAGGATCCTTTTTATCAAACAGCTGAGGTAAAGAAACTTTTCCCCCTTTTTTAAGTGTCACATTAAAGAATAACTTTTAGCACACACCCCCCCCCCTCTCTCCCAAATGGGTTCTCTTGCTGGAAATGAGATGTTATTCTACAAAAACAATTTTTTTTAAAAGCAATTTAAAACAAAATCAATATCCATATGATTATTTCAATATTATTGACTGTGTCAATCTGACTACTGTTTTTTTTTCTTAGGGTCAGGTGGTACTACGTCCTAACATGGTCAACTATATGTCTTCAAGTGAGCTATACTGCCAGGCCTGTAGCAACATGTTCCCAGACACACACGCACAATGGCAAGGTGAGTTGTATCCATGAAAAACACAGGCATATGAGCCTTTGTAGTAGACAGAAGTTTAGCGAAGCTTTGACTGCCCTTTGGTAGTACAGTGGAAAGCTTTGACTGCCCTTTGGTAGTACAGTGGAAAGCTTTGTCTGCCTCATAAAAAAAGACATAGCATTGGGGATAGTACTCATCGGCATACAGTCGGGGGCAATGTACTCGCCAGCTCAGTAAGACAACTACTCTAGAGAAAGAACATAAACCTTAAGTCAAAAACACCCCAACAGTGAAATAAATACGCTGGATGATGATGATGACCAGGTCAAAAATTTGCTTGCCAAAGTCTGAAATACTGTGCACAAAACAGAACTGTGAAAGTGGCTGTAAGAAAAGTTACAGGTATTGGAATAAATCTGAAACAAGGATAAACAAAACTCAAAAAAAGTTTGCACCATAATGGATGCCATTGTACATGTTTTCTATTAATAATGCCATTGAACTCAATATTTGTCCTAATTAACAAATTTTGGATATGTTAAAAAAATAAATAAATGGGACATCTATTAATGTTGACAAAAACTCAGACTTATTTGTTTGTATTAATAATCTTGATCGTTCACTTTAAAAAAAAATTAAATTGTCTTTTATTTAGTGTTATTGCATTGATTGTTGCAGGTCACTGGAGCATCATACAAGTTCTTTCTAGGAAAGGTATCTACATTTCAGATGAGACATCAGTTACAGAAACAGTTTTAGTTCAGACAGCTCCATTTAGATTGGTTAGTCACTTTCTCATTGTTTCAGCAAATATTTTGTTTTAAATTTTTTTTTTTTTTTTTTTTTTTTTTTTTGAAGCTACAATTAGATCTAATTGGATTTGTTATTGTCATTTCAAATATTTTTAAATAGATAATTATGAGTTTAAATGTTAATATTCATTTAAATAATTGTGGGTTTGGTGGCCAAGAAGATTTCTTTTAGGAAAATAGGGATATTTGCAAAACCAAGTAAGGGTTGGTTTTTATAAACATTGTATGTTGTATATGTGGTGTCATAATTTGAAATAAACCTTTACATTAATCATAAAACAGAAATAGCAATTTTAAATAATAACTAAACTTAAGAAATCAAAATATATAATTTTTAAATTATCATATTGAAAATATATATAAAACATTTAATTAAATGATTAACTTTATTTAAACTCTATAAAAAAAAATCTGATCTTAAGAAATAAAAATGTTTTATTGAAATTTTTAATTAGAAAATTTTTTCTAAAAATAATTTAAAACGTTCTGTCTTAAAAATATTGACTCTGTGAATATACTACCCACAGAAAGCCCACCTTGCCTTGATAGATGCCTTAATGAGAGCTTATATTGCTGAAGTAGCCAGTGTAGAGAAAGTCGTCAAAGCAGTCAAGTAGGTCATTTTATTGTCTTAACGTCAACTACTTTCCCCCCCCCTCCCCCTAAAAAAACACAACTACAATTGCATCAATTTATTAGAGCTGTTAAATTATTTGTGTCTGGTTATCCTATCTATGGCATTAAATAGTCATGATCAGTGTCTGCAAAGTAAATTAAACATAATGTCATTTTGTCCATCAGACGTGTCACAACATTCCCAGCCTCCAGTGAACTTCCCAGTGCACCGGAGGAGGCCTTGAAGTTTTGGATCAATAAAATTTGTACAGTTTTAGGGTCAGCTGGCGTTGACATGGTGGCTAATGGGGAGTCTGCAGTCGAGTCAGGGCACAAGGTTAGTGTTGGGTGTGAATCCGTCTGGAGAGGTGCTATTATTAATAAGCTGACCAATGAGCTAAGTTAATCAGAAGTGACTGTAACGTTGGTTGTTGTTCTAGGTGGTCAGCTGATCTCTTATTTGTAGTGCTATTGGTCGGTCATTTTGTCATTAAGCATCTGCATACCCTGTGATCGGTGTCTCCTATGTAATGAATGACTTTTTTGTTGGTGTTGCGTACAGTCTCGACTGGTCAAGCCTGTCCCCACTCGTGAACCAGTTCAAGTCCCTTTGTTGGAGGACCTCATGAGAGATATAGGAGACGGTACCAGTGTGGCAGCAGTCATAGCGTACTACAGGCCAAATTTGGTCAACATCAAGGGTAGGTTCGATGGGATCATACACAAGCATTCATAAATAAAATTTACAAACAGCATAATATCAAGCATTCATACAACCAACCAATTATTCTAGGAGTGAAGGTTAGACGAGAATAGAACTATTCTAATAAAGGTATGGAAATCTGTTGTCTGGGCTGAATAAAAGGCTTTTCTACAATTTGCATACACATAACCAATTCAGCCCTAAAATCACTTCTCTCAGCACATGAGGAAGGCCAGCATGAAAGTTCCCTCCACTCATGCCTATAAAATTTGTTTGCAGACCTGTGCAGTTTTAAAAAATTTACATCCTGTTGTTCCAGATTTGTGCCTCAAGGACAGCATAGGCATAGCAGACTCCTTGTACAACCTGCGTCAGATAGGGGAGTTCTGCAGGAACCATCTGCCTTGGAAGTGCTTCATGGTGACCTATGAGGACCTGCTCTACACACACGAGGTCATGAAGGTCAACATTTTAACCTTTCTGGCCGACCTCTTCTACTACTTTGAAGGTCTTGGTGGACAGGTGTCTGAAACATCCAGTGCTTTGATAGCAGCCAAGGAGAAAATAGATGGTCAGTGTTGGCTTGTCCAAGTGCATTAAAATGTATCAAACAAGATAATTATTATTTTCAAATTGTAGGTCTTTGTCACTGATGGTGCACCTCTGAATTTTAGCAGTTCGTGGTTACTGATGGTGTGAGTACCTCTGAATTTTAGCAGTTCATGGTTACTGATGGTGTGAGTTCCTCTGAATTTTAGCAGTTCGTGGTTACATTAGGCTCATGGTACAAATAAATCACTGTGCTTTGTTACTGGCTGTGCCATCATTTCAATTAACTGGCCATCAATTACATTATTTGACTAGTGATGGTGAAGTTCTTTTCCCTTTTTTATGATCTACATATTTGATATATTTGTGATTTTTTTGTGTGGAATCACCTGATGTTAAGAATTGCATGCAGTAACAATTTATGAAGGTTTTAAGTCTATTCCAATCTTTCTTGACTGACCGCCATCGTTCTGTATCACACAAAAGAAAAAAATACTTAACATTCTTATGTCTCTCGTCTCATTTGCCTAGAGTTGCAAGTATCTGTAGGTAAAGCATAAACCTATCTCCCATCTGTGTTCTTTCCACAAGATCTGCCTCATAAAGCCCATTCTTGCTAACCTTGCTTATGTGGTCCACCCTGTTTTACAAGTGATCTTTGATTTCCCTCTTGGTATATTCTTATTTTAATTTAATTAGTTAATTTATTTGAAATAGTTACATTTCCTGCTAATTTCATAAAGAAGTTCTTTGATTTCATGGGACACTTCCATATTTGAATAGACCTACCATTGCCTGTCAACTATGGATCTATTGCAGCTAAGTTTTTCAGTCTCTTTACTTTTGCTGTCGAAGGCTTCTTGGCTGAAAAGTCTACTTTTCTTGTGTTGTCCTTCCTTTTTGAGGTTTTTCCTCTACCTGTTTATTTCTTATGGCTTCCACTTGAACGCAGTCCCCTTAAAGTTTTTCTTGTTTAAAAATAGCAATGACATCACGTGTCCCCAGAGACTTCCAGGGATAGCTTGACTCTCGCATGGTTTCAGTAAAGAAAATCAGAAGTTTTTTTTTATCTCATTTCTTTTTCAGTCTTTGTGTAATTTATTACTAGCACATGTTGATCCTAGGCAACAAAGATAGATTTTTTGGTCATTGTTTATTTTTTGGCTCTTTATGTTAAATTTTTCTTAAACCTTATTAATTTCTGGATACATTGTTAATTTGTTAAAATAAATTAATATTAAGCAGCTAATAAAAAAAATATATATTTCACAAATATAAATCAATTGAAAAAAACGTAGTTGCTTCCCTTTGTTCAGGAATATGGATTAAGTAAAGCCATAGGGAATGGGTTACAGTTACAGAAAGGTCCGTGAATGTTTTATATGTAACATGTCTTTCATTCATGTGAAATATACTTCAGTAATATCACCCCTCCCCCTTTCCCCAATCTCACCCCAACCTGACTGCCCACTTGGAAACATGACTAACTTATTCTGCGACTGTTTCAGCTATGCCTGCTGCAGGCAGGAGAACCCCTCTCTCTGGTGTAGCCAATGTCCCCATTAGCTCTGTCACCAAGAAAAGCTTCCAGAGGCTTCCATTTGAGGACACAGCCAGCAACCTGGGCATGAACAGAACATCAGCCATCAGCCCCAGGTCAGTCAGGCACTGCCAAACAGATCATTTGTGCTGAATTTAATCTTTTTCTGTTGTGGCTTTTCAGAACATTCATGTATATTATTATGGTCAGATGTTGAAGTGGCTTTTCAAAACATATATGAATATCATGGTGATCAGATTTTGAAGTAGCTTTCATCGTCATGGCTAGGTCAAGGATACATATTTTTATTGACAAACACATCTTTTTTGTAACTCAACCCTTGGAAACATTTCAAGAAACCCGTTATGTAGTGCTGCAGTTGATCTTCTCATCTTGTTTTCAGCTCCCATCAACCTCTACTACCTCGCCGCTCAGGCGGCCGTCGCAGTTTTACCCAGGAAGACGGCCAGACGTCGTCGTCCCCACCGACCAACAGAAAAGGACGTCGGACATTGTCCCTCAGCTCCCCGCAGGAGAGAGAAACAGTTCACAAGTCAGTGCTGGCCTGGCAGGATGATCAAAAAATACACAGCAGGTAAGACTCTTGACGATAGCAAGAGAGGTGTCGACTTTCTTGTCTTACTTTGCATTAACATCTTAAAACGAACAAGAGAAGTTGATACTATTCATATTAGTGGGTGGAACTCTAGAGCCCATTGTATCACTAGTAAGTATTGATTTCCTTACTTTGCTCACAGATATATATTGAGTTATCGCTTTTGAAAGGCCATTGGAGCCTGAAATGTTATTTTTAGTAGAGTCCCTGGAGCCATTAGGAATACCAAAGCCGTTTTGCTTTCTTTTGTATCCAGATCTGATGATAAAAGACAGAGCGGTGAACATCAACAGGGACGAGGCAGTCTCTTGGCCAATGTCAGCATAGATTCAACCCTCAACCAGAGCACCAATGCAGAGAACCTCAGTTTAGATCTTAGTGAATTAGACACTCCCCGGTAAGGAAATATCCACTGACCTCCAAAATCTCATTTGTGCAATGGCCACAATAATGTTCATTAACTTTTAAAAATCATTATGCTTTGTAAACAATGTGTTTATAAAACTGTGAATAAATGCTAGTTACAAAAATTTAATCTGAAATTGATTGTGGGAAAAAAAGGATGGAGAGAAGAAAAAAATAATTGAGAGCAGAAAAAGAAATAATTGACGGAAAAAAAATAATTTAAAAAAAAATAAATAATTGAGAAAAGAAGAAGAAAAAAATAACAGAATAGAATAGAACATTGAGAGCAGAACAAAATAAGAGAAAAAATAAATTGAGAGGAAAACAAAGAAAAAAATTGTTTGAAATTTGTGAGTTATTTTTAGTAGCAGTTTTCATGTAAATTAATAGGATAGGGGATCACTTCAGACCTGTTTACCATCAAACTCTTGAAATTGCACAATATTATCACAAAATCGTTATTACATTATCTTAATAGTAAATAATAAACATACAATAGATATAATCTATGCATCTCAAAATTGTACATTGTACGCCAAAATCGTAAGAGTAAACAGGTCTGTCGTTTTGTTTGCGTTTATAAAATCCTTTTGTTCATCCAACGTGTACTGAGAAATTTATTGTTAATTTACAGGATAGGACTGAATTGTTTGAAATGGTCTGAACTAAGATGAACTTGAAAGTACAAAAGATCCCCTTTAATCTTCACACTCTTTCTCTCTCTCTATCTCTCTCACTACAGGTTATCCAAAGGTTCTGCATCTGATCCAAACCATCCCGACTACATGGAGCTTGAGAGCGTCACATCTGGCAGACCATCACGCTTTGCATCTCCTCAAGAGCCGACCGACCGCCTGACCAACCGGACACCCACCAACAGGCTGGAGCCACTCACTCCTGCAGTGCTGAGACCCACGAAAGAACGAGACACAAACCTATCAAAAGCCGAGGAGCGAGGAGACAGGTAATTTTCATAGGGGTCCATTTTGCCCGTCTGTCAGTGGCAGGTAAAATGAATAAATAAAACACCAAATATAGGAAATACTGATCAAATATATCTAAATGTTGTTTAATTGTCCACTCTAAATTTAACTTTTAAGAGACAATGTACATTGAAGTATTTCTGTGATTCTCCGTTAAGTAATTTCAACTCCTCATTCCCCAGATTGCAAAGAAAGAAGCAAGTTCACTCCCCATCCCACCCCTTCCCCCCATCGCAGAGGTCAACACAGCAACCATCAGGCAGGTCATCCAGTGAGGACTTGGCGGTCAGCCTGAGCTCATCGTCCTCTGAAACCACAGTGTCTTCCCTGCCGTCAGGTTTGTCCTTTATTTCAGGTTTTAAATTAAACACAGGACATAACATTCATCTGTTCTTCCTACAGCTTTTTTTTTTAATCTTAAAGTCACCTCCTGTACTAAGAAGTTTCTGTCTCAATGCTTACGAAGTTATATATTTTAATACAAATGATTCACTGCTATTTCCTCTTGTGGCCTACCTACCTATTTGTTCAAGCCGATATTAACACATGTTCTGGAACATTCAAGGAAAGACACTGTAGTGTAATCTCCGGCAATAACATTAATGGCGAACACTTGAGTTTTTTAACCATTTTTTCTATCTCTTTTTGTTTCTTAATTTGTCCTGTCCGCTGAGACGGGCTGTTGGCCGAGACATACTTCTTTTATTGTCCTTCCTTCAATTCCAAGCTTCCACATACCTTTTTCCACTATTTCCCTTCATACAGCTTGAACTGCAGTCCTTCGTTTATTATCCTTGTAATCTCTCATGACTTTCTCAGTGTGCTCTGTCCATCTCCTTCATTTTTTTTGTTATACTTTGCTCTATCTCCACTTTCCAACTTCACGCTTTATTTGCAATTCAATCAAATGATGGGTTGTATCCTGTTGAAATCCTGTCCCAAAAAGAATTTTTTATGTTTTGACATCACTTGGTTTTGCTTGTATCAAGTGATATAAAAAACAAAACGGTCATAATTTATAAGAATAGTTCATAGAGGTACTGAATACTTGGACACATTGTTATAACTTTTTGTGTGATCATCTCCATCAGGGGAAAGCCCCACACCCCATTTGATAGGCCAGGTTCCACTTCATCGACCATTTGAAGCATTCACAGTTGGTACAGGCATTTCGCAGCAGTATGAGGAGTCACCTCCCAATTCTGTCAGAAGTAATGGTACGTATATAAAGTTGCAGCTATGTATTGTATTTGGAAGCATTATCTTCTCGATAATGCATTTTAAGCATTTATAGTGGGCCAAGCTTATGTTTTTTTGTGTGTAAAACCCATAAATACCTGCTTATTTTTCATGATCAGCAGCTTCAATAGTTTCTGATATTAACAGACAGTAGAAGTGAAATTTAGTGAAACTATTGAAAGCAGTGTTTCCCAACTCATGGACTAGTGGCTTGTCAAGAAGCAGATTGCAGCTCTGAAGGAGAGTTTTAGGAATCAGCTTATGCTCATTAAAAAAAAAAGTAGCTTTCAACTTCTTGACAGCTGCGTCATGTTGATGATGGAAGAAATGAATAGTTTGGGCCAGGCTGAAATGAAAACTATTAACTGTATATTTTGTGCTTCATGTATCAGATTTTTTAAAACAAAAATATAAAATATAATTTCTGCGGTTGTTCAAAATAGCTTAGAAACCAAGCGGTGATCAAAAATGATTTTCAAGATAACATAAAAAATCTTTGGAGATGATGATATTTAAGTTGTTCAACTAAAGTGGACCAGAAGAAATTTCTGATATAGAGAATCCACTCATGATATTTGTAATCCTTGTGACCCTTTTCTAAGTGATTTCTCTTTTCTGTCTCTGAGCCAGAAATATTTGAATGTAAGAATTTGTTTAATAAAATCCAGTATCTGAACTAGCACAATCAGTCTCTGAGCTAATGCTAGCTATAACTCTACTCTAAGACTTTGACTAGTATGAATCCAGTGTCCCATTACTAACACCATGCTCTGAGCCAATGCTGGGTATGAATCCAGAATCTGTCCTAACACCAGTCTCTGAGCCAATGCTAGCTATAACACTACAGTAAGACTTTGACTAGTATGAATCCAGTGTCCCATTACTAACACCATGCTCTGAGCCAATGCTGGGTATGAATCCAGAATCTGTCCTAACACCAGTCTCTGAGCCAATGCTAGCTATAACACTACAGTAAGACTTTGACTAGTATGAATCCAGTATCTGTCCTAACATCAGTCTCTGAGCCAATGCTAGCTATAACACTACAGTAAGACTTTGACTAGTATGAATCCAGTATCTGTCTTAACACCAGTCTCTGAGCCAGCGCCAGCTGTAACTCTACTGTAAGACTTTGACTAGTATGAATCCAGTATCCGTCCCAACACCAGTCTCTGAGCCAATGCTAGCTATAACACTACAGTAAGACTTTGACTAGTATGAATCCAGTGTCTGTCCCAACACTAACACCATGCTCTGAGCCAGCGCCAGCTGTAACTCCACTGTAAGACTTTGACTAGTATGATTCCCCACCCACAGCAATCAGTACAGCAGGCAGTTACACAGTAGCCAATAGTGTCTCATCCCAAGCTGCTAGAGCTGCTGGTATCCCCATAGTATCTGATAGCAACGACATGACATCACTTGTTGATACATCAGCAGGGGATCGATCAAGGGAGGGAAGTGTTGCCAGCTCAGGGGAATACTCGGACCATGAATCACAGAAGATTCACCAAGATCACAAGGTCAGTAGGAGTTGACATTTGGAGATTAACATGTGGCACTCAATTAGACCAGATATATATGTATGTGTATACTTTTTTTAATGACATTAAAATTATTAATTAAGAAACAATAATTTGATGCAAATAATCTGAAAAATTAAAAGTAGCTTGTAACTACGTTTTTTTTTAGTTTTTCAAATTTGTTTTTGCTTTCTACCAAGCCATTGTGTCATGCAATTAAATACTATCTTAACCTTGTATTACAAATAATATTTTAATACACTCTTGTTGTGCGATTCTGTAGTTTAAAAAAAAAAAAAATTAATTTGATCATTAGTGTACTCCCCTGAATTTCTCCCCTGTTCTAGTTCTGCTGTTTCCCCGTGTTCATTTCAGCTTCGTGAGTCTGGCACACCCATGACAGTCAGGGGAAACAACAACAACGGGATGAAACCTGCCATGATCATCGCCGACGGCCTGGGCAGTGGGACCAACTCTGGGACCGGAGAGGGAGGCAGCGTCTTCATCAAGCTGCCACCGTCTTCCAACACCACAAACTTTGCTGAGCTCAAACGACTGAAAGACAAGCTGGGATATAAGATTGACAAGGTTGGAGAGGTTGTCTCTGAACTGATTTTTGACACCGAATATTTTTTGCTACTAGGGTGGAAGTTCTTGTATGTTAATGTAACTTTTCATATAGATCAAAGGTTTACGAGTAAGAATGTAATATCAATGAATAAAAATCAGTGTAAAAAAATTGTACCAACTATATAAATCAAAGAATAGTTTTAATGCTTGCATACTGTGTATGAGAATTTAGTGTCTTATAAGAAAAAACAAAAAATTAAAATATGTAAAAAAAACACTTTAGTTGGCTAAAATGAAATAAAATAATTCCTTAATAGTTGTCTTATACATGTCTTGATTATTCCTCACTACAGTTGCTTTTTTTTTTATATAGAAGGAAACTTTTATATATATTGAAATTAAACATGGTTTTCTTATTTTAATTAGGCTTTCAGTTTTACTAAATTGCTCTGTAACAAAACTGTAGCATTTTTCCCTTATGAAGAGTTGTTAACTAATTTCTGTGTTTGAAGGTGGATAACTCTGCTCTGATATACATGCAGAGTTGCAGTCAGGGTGGACCCTATGACAAAATGGCTGCTGGGGACCTTAAAACAACCCTTGGGGGCTCCTCGCAAGGTCAAGGCCATCTTGTACCAGGTATTTAATTAACGTAATACCTAATTTCCTTTTTGAAACTGTGTCAAATGAAAACAAAGTCGACACATTTTTGGTGTCTGCCTTTGATATTTTCCATAATTTATTTGAAGAAAAGTTGGCAGAATGTCAATTATTTGATGTGCAAATAAGCTTTTTTGAAATACTGAGTTTTTTTTTTTTGGCCTAACAAGGTGCAATTCTAATTGTCTTCAAGAAACAGAAACATTGCAAATCCCATCTACATGCATAGGAGCCAAAATGATCAATAAATTGATCGTGGGCCCTTAAGATATAGAAGAAGAAGAAGAAATTGTATTTCAAGGGCAAACAAATTCAAAGTTTACTATTTTATTGAGGATATTCAAAGTATACCTTCCCCGAGTAGAAAGTTTTGAATCGTACTCATTGTCTCAACACTTGACCGTCAGATAAAACAAACCAAGCGGGGTTAACCAGCCCGTCACCTGTCCCCGAGGTGGCCGTGCCACAGACCAATGGAGCAGAGCCCGCCTCTTCAGACCTGCAACAGCTGAGACTCAAGCTGGAGCAGAAGAGGAGAGAGATTGAGAGGAAGAAGCACAGGCAGGAGGCCCAGCAGACAAAGATGAGGCAGAGATTGGGTCAGTCTAAACGTTGGTTACTGTTGGTGGGTTTGGGGGGCTCATTCAAACTTTAGCTTCATTGTTATTGTACTGGGGTTACCTTTGTTGCTGTTAGTGGATCTCAACATCTTTGTGGATGAGGGTCATCCATATTTAATCTTTATTGTTATGTGTGTTGGAGTAATCTTTATTACTGTTAGTGGATATCAACATCTTGGTCGATGGGGTGTTTTGATGGATATACTGGTTATATTGTTTTACTTAAGATAGAAGCAAGTTACTTTTATATGTGTAGTTTAGACCCTTTATATGTTAACTCTTTTGGCTTCTGTTTTCAGGTAAGGCCGCTTTCATGCGTGTGGTCTCCAAGCATCTGGAAGGGGGTGAGGAAGAAGAAGCCGCTGAATATGAAGAGACAAGCAGGCAAGACGCCCTGGCGGCCACATCGACTCAAGCTCAAATCCAGGCTCGCCTCGGTCACCCCATGCAGAGGCTACCTCTGGGGCACACCGCCAGGTCGCAGCCTGTCTCTGGCAATGCAATGCCACAAGGAACTCTGGGTCCCCTAATTCCGCCAGACACGTCGGCCCAGAGGTTCACCGACTGGACAAGTGTTTCTAAAAGTAATCAGACGCTGACTCCAAGGCCCGGCAATCTTGATGAACAGCAGTCGCCTGGGGTAGTAGACCCCGGGACAGACTCTCAAAAATCAGGGAACAAAGCTTTTTCACGGGAGGGCATCCAGCAAACTATAGATAATGTCAAAAATAAGTGGTTTAATAGTAATTCAGACCTGGTAACAGGTGGTGGATTCAGTGAGGAAGACGCAGGGTCTTACAGGGTGAGCGGTAATGAGCTTGTGGGCGGGGCCAGTGCAAGGACTGACAGCAGGGAGAGCAGCCAGTCTCCTCACATGGGCAGGCCAAGCTATGCAAACTCACCAGTCCCCGGGCAGAATGCATCCCCACAAGTCAGGGACACCTCCTCACCCAGACCAATCAAAGTTGAACCAGAGTACCAGGAATATGACTCCTCTCTTGACAAGCTCAACAACAGCTTGACTGAGCTTCAAGGTGAGATCATGCGTCTCTCACTGCAGCATGAGCAGCTTAAAGCCGCACAGTCGCCCGTGAGTGGACAGCCGGTTGGGTTTGACCCAAGACTTGGTGAAGCTTTACAGGCCATCGGCTCCCCCTCCATGGGGGCGTCGCCGGCAGCCCCACGCCCCATTCAAGGCATACCACAGCAAGCCCCCTATGTCCACGGATCTATGGTCAGGAGCCAGCAGCAGTCTGGCATGAGCAACAGCTTTTCAGCAGATGTAAGTGCTTCGCCGCTCATGAACACCTCACAGCAACAACAGCCTCTAACCATCGGGTCTGGTGCAATGACAGACTCCAACAGTTCTGGATTAAGCAGGTCTGGTCATGAAGCCAGGCCAGGCTTGGTCCTTTCTGATGAAGCCCATGATCAGAGTGAAATGGATTCATCCTCTGAAGGCTTCTTTATTGCTTACGCTGAGGACACCCCCAAGAGACCAAAACCAAAACTGTCGGATCAACGTGGTAGAGGAGTGTCTCCATCCCCGCAATCTAGACAAACTCCGGTCATCCCTCTCGTAAGTGGTCAAGATGACCAGGCTGGTGCCAGTAAAGGTAGTGGTCTTGTAACATTGGAGCCACAGTTGGGTTTGGCCGATGATGGTTCTCCAAGCATCGGATTTGTCATCAAGGACCAAGAAGCTTTGTCGAAAGAGCAGGTTAGATAGTTTCTCAGTCTTAATTATGAAAAAATATAAGAATACGTCAGCTTAAACTTTTTACCTTTTATAAATAAAATTTTGGACAATTTTGATACCTGGGGCTCACCTTTTATAAGAGAAGGAAACAAAAATTGAGAACTGTTACCAGAATATGTGATAGCTAACTAATGTGAAATTACTGACTCACCTCTTGTAAAATTTTGCACAGTATAAAATCTTGACCACCTTCTAACTCTCCAGTTCACAAGTCATTACTCAATCAGATGAAAGAAATATGTAACCTGGTACATCTGTGGATTTGTTGAAATTGACTCATTTAAAAATAAACCCATAACAGATTTCCTTGTCCTGTAGCGTTGAAAGGATTAGCTAAATCCATTAATTTGTCCAATTAAAAAACTTGATTTAAACTCTTAGTAATCCTCTTGGGAGATTTAGAAGCTATTTGAAACATTAATTTGCACTCTTCAGTTTGTTACATAATTGGGAAAATTAAATTGTTTTACAGGAATATGAGGATGAGATGCAGAAAAAGAAAATCAAATTGATGGAGATGCAGAGGAAGAGAAAGGAGGAGCAGGAGAAACGAAGGCTGGAGAAAGAGGCAGAGATGGCTAAAAAAGCAGAGGAGAAAATGTAAGTAACTTTTAAATGCATACATCTCATAAAATAGTTTATTATATAATGAGGGAAATTATATCTTTTATGATAGTGAGTCACCTTTAGATGTAGTCATCTCATCAAATAGTTCATAATTCAATAAAGAAAACTATATCTCTTATGGGGATCCGATCGACAAGCCTGGTGGCTTGCCGACTGGGATGGGCCAGCCACTGGACCCCCTTGGCGTTAACCTGGGTAACAAAACTGCTATTGGATGTCCTGCGTGGGCAGGACAACAAGGAGCAACCATGGTACCTGCTGGAAATAAAACAGCACCTTCAAGGCTGCCAACTGTGACGCTTCACAGTTGGAAGTAAAGGCAGAAACAGTGTAGGGATCATGATTACTAGTTGCCGTTAATGGATATGAGGGTGGAGGCAAAGGTGGAAACCTCTAGCCGATGATTCTAACTACACAGCCCTGAGAAAGCTGCTGCTAGGCGACCGTTGTGTCCCAGCTACTTTGCAAACTGGTTGTGTGGTGGAAGCCCATGGTAGAAACCCTCTTAAAGGGCCTCCGACGTTTCCCCGGGATGGGTAGGGGAAGATATTAGGACGTTGTTAATGTACTATCCCGGCTCTCTGGGAGAGTCGGCTGCGAACGCTTTAAGCGCAGCATTTTCGGTTGACCAGGCATCCCCGAGCGGGGAAAGTTTCCATTCGTGAGTCAGATTGAGCGGCCGTGAGTGTGGGCGGTGCAGGCGGGGGGAGGTTCCAGGCGTGCCGCTGCACGGCCTGGGCGTCTGGCCCTTGCGGAGGTGTCCCGGGATGGGGCACTAAAAGCTCACACTCGACTGCCTGGCCATTTCCCAATTGACGTATTTGACGCATATCTCTTATGAATAAATGAAAAAAGAATGTTCTGTTGCCGTCAAGACTGTTTGAGGCTACTCTCTGGCTACTGGGAAGTTCCCCACTTTTTCTTATGTAATGCACATTGCCAGATTGTAATTTTGTGTATTTCTGAATTAAACAAAAAACTACAATCCTAAATTCCAACTGGTTGTCAATTTGTTTTAGAACTCTATGTTAAAAACAAAAATTCCATATAGAGGAATGATACATTTTTTTCTTAGCCTGCCATGGCTAGTTGATGAGTAAATATGTGTGAATGCACTAAAAATTGTTTAAATTATTATTTTATCACATTTATGAATTTACAGGTACAAAGAAGAGGAGCAGGAGAGGAAAAAGGCTGAAGACAAGGCAAGAAGAGAGGTAATCTTCCAGCAGTACTTGCAGAAGAAGCAAGAGGATGAGGAAGTAACTCCTACCAAAGTCAAGGTCAAGAAACGGGACAGCAGCAGTGGTGGCAAGCCAAGGCCAAAGTCCATGTTTGTGAAATCCAAAGCCATGACCCCTGAGCCTGGTAGGTTCAAACAAATCATATTGTAATGTGGATATCTTACAAAAAAATATATTGTAGCCTGTGGAGGCCCAACAAACTAATTATGGAGGTGCAACAAATTGTACTGTAACATAGAGGTTTTATAAATTATTTTTGAATAATGCCTTTACGAATACTATAATATGTAGGGTAAATAAAATATTAGAGTTAAATCACATTCATCTTTTTAAAAAAAGGCAATAATGGACATAAAGATTCTTTGTGTTTTTATTAGTTTAGTATTTCAAACCATGTTAATAAATAATATGATAGGAAATGATTTTTGCTTCTTTGTATAAAACCAATAATTGCTTGCCGAACATTGCAGGTGCTCTTGGTGGTATGGATTCTGGCAGCAGCTCTCAGGAGGACCTCATCGGCAGAGACGCTTCTGGTGGCAGGACAACCCCAGGTGTTATGTCAGGTAGGGGGGAACACCAGAGTGTGTGGGACAGTGATTTTGTCACTGGTGGTTTTGTGCTTGTTCATCACACACTGTGTTGGATGTGCTTGTTGTATATATCAGTCAAGTCTTGCTTCAAGGAAAAAAAAAATTTGATGTAAAAGGAATGCTGCATTATCTTTAACAGCAAAGCTTCTCAATAGAATAGTTGCCAGGAAGAGATCTGAGCTTGCCAGAATTTTTTTTTAATTTGTTGCATTGTTGCACAGTGTTTCACCCAGCACAGCATGTAAAGCTAAATTTGACTCTTTGCTGACTCTAATTGAAAGTTGATTGTTAACACACTTTATTTTAACTGTTTTCAAATTAGTTGAATCGTTTGCCATCTTTTCAGGAGGGGGGGGGGTAAAATAAAAATTAATTAGTAATATAAAGTTGGTCTTCACATAACTGGAAATTATGGCCTGAAGGAATACAATATCCTTGTAGTGTGGGACATTTAGCACGGATACAAAAATACTGTTTCATAAGTATTATACGATTGTTCTTTACTATTATAATGTAATGTATATTTTGGTAGACTAAGATATTTTTAAAACGGGGCAGGCAAAATAATCCATGTTTATTTTAGTAGTTAAGATTGTTCATGTCCCATGGCAGTTTGTTATTTCTTAATATCCAGTGTGCATTTGAATGTCAATCAAGCATGTTTACCTATAACTTGTTTTGTTCCCTTGCTGTTGTCTTGACTTGTTTTATGTAATTTCCAATTCTTTTCAACACAGTTGACCCCCCTGAGAAAGGTAGATTACTTACATTATTTTACTATTTTTTTAACCAGTTGATTTAATTTGATTTATTTTTGTTTCAGTTGCAGATGTTCACAATTTTCTGTTGCTTACTCTACAACAATGTTCTCAGTCATATTGTTCCATGTCTTAGTCCATAGGCAATAACATTGCTAATTTCACTCTCCTCCCTTGCAAAGTTATTACCCCAAATAACGACAGTGTATCTCAAATCTTTTACCAAACTGAGATGGATGTTATGTATTATAGTTACACAAGTGATAATAATGCAATGGAATTTGAGATAGAGTATTCCCAGATGAAGCACTGAGATTTCAATTTAAATTTATATGTTTAATATAATCTGTTTAAAAGGTGTTGAAATCAGTGACAGATGCATAAGAGTCGTTTGATAAACTAATGTTATAAAGATGTTGAAATCAGTGACAGATGCATAAGGGTCGTTTGATAAACTAATGTTCTAAAGTAAAATCGAAGAGAAAAATGTCTAAGTTACTATTTATTTTGCATATACAAGTTGTTATTACATACAATTTATTTTTAATTTGCTAACAGCTTAAGGTTTTCTTTGTAACAGAAAATCTATATAATTCATATTCATTTCATCCAGGCTCTAAAGTTTCCTTACCAACTGAATCTCTTTAATGTAGTTTCAAACTATCACTTTGCTTTGGACTGAAATTTAAATGAAACTAATGTGTCTGAGAACATTGGTGGATTTGTTCATATTCTTTCATTTGTGTTGTTCATTTTCTTTTGTTCATATTTTTAAGTTTTTATAAAATGTTTGTTATAAGTGCTCACAGCACCACCAAGAGTTATTTCCCTTGTTTTCACTGTGTGGTACAGCATGCTCGTGTTAGATTTTGTACTTGTGAACATGACATGGTCATGCTAGACAGTAGTTTGATATATTTTTCGAAAATTGTGTTTCCATGTACAGATGGTACTCAATGAACACCCTATCACATGATAAATAATGTCTCTCTATAATCATAAGGTTAGAGATTAAAGTTAAATCAGCCAACAAACTCAAACAGATTATGAGAATGGCATGATTATGGTCAACAGACATTCATTTCCAGTGGGTCTTTTCAAATTTGTTTTATTGACTTTGAGGGAAGTTATTAAAGATGATCCTGCTTTTGTTGGATATTGTTTTCTCTACAAACTTTTTTTTTTAATTCTAAAAATAAAAAAAAAAAATAAAGAAAGAAATAGTATTTTTTATATACATATATAAAACATACAACATGCAAACTATTTATTAGTAATGTATTGATGAAGATATTTCTGGCAGAACAAATCTTATGTAAACAGAGTGCCTGCTGTTTTTTAAATATTTGAATTACTATGTTGACAAAGTAATTAAATAACATATGTTTCTATTTTAGACTTAAATGAAAAATCAAAATTCAAGATAAATGATGAGAGAAGCATATATTTATAAACAGTTGTCGTATGAGGCAATATTGGCTTTTAATTTTTTGATAAGGATGAAATTTTGAATTTATTTATTTCAATGGGGCTAAACATTATCAGCTCTCTGGGGATTTTTTTGTGTGGATGAAACATGCAATATAAAAAAGATTGTTAACCATAACATTTTTCCACCCTGACCCTCCGGCTCACTTAAATTTGATGTGCTGTCCATTATATTTGATGTATGGTGCATTTATATTTGATGTAGAATCCTCTTACTATTGATGTACAAAAACATGCAATACTACCAAGATTTGGAACTGCAATCCGATTTAAGCATATTGAACCCAACATACTTTTTTAAAAACAATAAATAGTCAAAGTCAGTCAGAAGTTGTGGCATGAATGCTGTAGGGATAATTTTAAGAGCAACGGAGATTAAATTAAATGGCTCAAGCATATTGAAAGAGAGATATTTGTTTAAATTGATATTACAAGAATAACAAGTTTTGCATGCTGCTTGTTCTAAGAGTTTTCTAAAACAACTGTTGATATTTTTAGTAGAACAACTTGAAATTTTTAAGGAGCATGCTTTGCCTCATGGGGGTGTTCTACCTCCCTAAAACAAGAGAATTAACTCTAAACCACTGCTCAATATCTTTTGTTTGACATTTTGTTTTTCCTGCATTTTTACTTTGATTTGCTTCCTTGATCGGATGGCCCTGGTACACTCCCCTGCCTTGTTTCAGCTATGAGATCTACATACCACTTTAGACTTCCTCAGCCGACTCGAATAAGGAAAGCAGGTAGAGTAGTTTCACATAAACCTAGCATTCTACTAATTTATTTTGTTTTGGAATCAAAGATCTGGTTTCCCGACTGTTGTAGAGTATGTCACCATAATGTTCACCGTTAATGCTCTGGTTCAGGCAAGTTGATCCACATATCAGACGTAGAATCCATCCCTTAATTATGAAAAGTTGGAATGTAAGTTGGAATTAAATTATGTACTCAGCAATTTTTTAATCTGTTCTACATTCATTTATAAAAAATGTGCAGCATCCAACCAGATATCCTTGCTCCGTGATAATTAGTAGAAATATAGACCATTTGGTGTACTATTTTTACACCAAATCTCGGGTTTGCCAATACTGAAAAGGAGTAAATCAATTAATGTAATTGTGACCCATAAACACTACTGAATTTTAAATCCTAAATGCAAATGCAACACAATCAAATGGCAATATAAATAACCACTATAACAATATAAGTCACCGTTTTCTCAACCAAAGTCATAAATATTGTAATTTTTTATGGATATAAAAAAAAGAATGTTTAACTTTTATTGCCTAGTTAATTTATCATTATTCTATAGAGGACAATTTAAAAAAACAAACAATCTGTTTAAAAGCTGATTTCTGTTATTAATAATGGGTATGAAAAAAATCAAACAAATAAATTATATGACAATCTGAGTTCAAATACATTTTATATTAAATTTCTTTAGGCATATATACGAAGACATTTTTTTATTTATGTTCGAAGTATCAGGTCCATCTCCATCATATAAAAGTATGATGAAGCTTGCAAATTGACCAACAAGTCTCCCTAGAATACATCCAAGTATTATAAACAAAAACAATGATAAAAACTAGAGGGCTTTGACGTGCAATATTTTTAAAAAGTATTTTTGATTTTTCCACTTATTACCATTCGTTCCTGTTGTAAGGTATAAAATGTTTCATTGTCTGTGTTTTGATATGGTAATAATACATGCTGTTGACTTGGCCAGGATATTCCTGTACATGTTTTCCCAGAAACCCCCTTTTTGTGTGTTCTCACATGTGCACAGAAACTTTGCTGACACTTTGTAAACTAGTTGAGCAAGGCCTGCCTTAGTTTTGTCTGTCTAACCCTAACACTAAACATGCATCACGCATCATGCCTGACTGGTACTCGGAATGCCTTTTTTTTTTTTGCACATCATCACAATTTTCACTTGACTGGCTTTCACATTTGATTGTATTTTACATTTTATTGGCTTTCACATTTCACGTATTTTTGTGCAGGGAAGGGCCTTCCATATTATTTTTATCACATCTTCGAAAAAAAATCCTTAAAATTTATTAAATAACAAGCTTGAGCTAAAATGACATTGGAAGGCTTTATTTTTTGTGTCTCAAAAATGTCAGTGGTTATTTGAAAATAACATGATTTCAACATGGCTAAGTTTGGCTATCTTGAGCAATGGTTTTTGACCAAATGTCTTAGTTTGCTACCCTTAATCAAAGATCTTTAATCAAAATTTCTAAGGTTGGCTGTCTTGAGTAATGGTTCTTTGTCTAGATGTCTAAGGTTGGCTGTTTAAGGTTGGCTATCATGTTTTGGCAATTGTTTTGACCAAATGTCTAAGGCTGGCAATCTGTTTTGACCAAATGTCTAAGGCTGGCAATCTGGGGCCTTGGTTGTTGATAGTTTCTATTAATGCTTTGAATTAAATTAGTTTGCTCCTTGCCTGGTAGCTCACCCAGCAGACATATTAAACTGTCTCCCTGAAAAGGAACAAGCAGGTTGACTTCGGTTACCTCACTCATGCCTGCCTGCATTGAGGGGCATTCCTAATAGAAGGCTGCCCTGATAGTTTTGTTTGAAGAGTACTACCATGTTGCTTCTAGAACAGTTTCACTCTTGGGATGCACTCAAAGTACTGAATGTTGACTATCTTTATATTATACAATTCTTATAGTTCTTAGTTTACTTCAGAACTCAATTTAGGTTTCTATTCATTGTTCTTCTAACAAGTTGTCTGATCTTTTGCAAAGGTAAACATTTATTTCAGTAGTGGTTCTCAAAAATGTGAAAGCTAAGCTTTGAAGCTTGTGTATATAGGGAGCGTGCTCTTGGTCCGATAATTGGTATCCCTGTTCCAATATGTGCTGTAGATCAATGGCTCTTAAACTTGCAGATTAGTTGCAAAGTGTACATGCCAGTTGCCTCTTCTAAATGTTCTGCTGAGCTGCCATGCATTAATTGCTTAGAATGTTAGGTTCCCAAATGTATGAACTAGATCACGCACTGATCACACTCAATGGTAAGCTTAGCTTTAGTTACTTTAAGTGGTACATATCTTTCTTTTTTTTAGGTAACTGCTACCATCAAAATCAGTTGTTGATTTAATACAATCTTGTTAAAAATTTTGTTAAGTCTAATGCCTGCTTTACACTTCTGTTTGATACACCAAAGCCAGGCTGTTAATTTTCTGGAGGTTTTGTTTCCAGTGTCCTGCAACACTCTGCAACAAGGGGCATCCAATGGGGCACAGGGCCCTTCAACCTACCGCCGGCCACCCTCTCCTGACCTGTATAGGATAAAACAACAGAGGCAGAGGGGCAACAGTCAGGACAGTGGCAGTGAGACTGGATCGGGTTCAAACCCAGGTTCTGATTATGCAGGTATTTTTATTGGGTATATTTCATGCATGAGACACTCATGAGGGGGAATGCTTACTGAACATTTCAAGGAGAGATTGGTTACACAGTTAAAAACAATACTATTTTAATACATAGCTAAAAAAAAATATACTAATTTCATTGATAAATTTCAACTAATTTATTTCATAGAACAGCGGTTCTCAACCTGGGGGTCGCGGGACCCTTTCCCAGGGGTCGCCTAAGACCATCTGAAAACACATATCCTTACAGTTATGAAGTAGCAACGAAAATAATTGTGTTGCTGGGGGTCGCTGCGACACGAAAAAGTGTATTAAAGGGTCGCGGCATTAGGAAGTTTGAGAACCACTGTCATAGAAAGCTAAATTCACTTTTCTTACCCTATTTCCCATATATATTTTTCCCCACACAGGTCCAAAGCTGTTTGTGAAACCCAGTGCCAAATCCAACCGTCACATTATCGTCAATGCCATCTCCCACTGCTGCCTGGCTGGATCTGTTAATACTGACATGAAGAATAAAGTTTTAGAAGTAAGCTGATATGTTGTCATCTACTTATTCTCTGTGGCTTCATTGGCACGCCATGTGATACAACAAACGCAGTTCGGAGATATTTTATGACTGCAATAAAAACAATTCTTAACTAATTGTTTTAGAGCTCAAGACAATTGTTTTTAAGATATCACCACCAAACTATAGAATAAGGGGCGGCGAACTTTTTTAGCTACTGTCCCTACTAATATTTGTTTTTGCTGACATTACCCCCTCGATTTGGATTGGAGAAAATCATGGACTATTTAAATTCAGAACGATTAATTAAATCTATTTACATAGTTAATACAATTTTATAAAAAGTATCAAATAAAGGCAATAAAATAAAATTTTAATAGTTATAAAGCAAAGGCGACAAGGCCAAAATGACAAATACCATACAAGATGTGCAGTTATGTTAGGTGCCGACTGCTGAGCAACTAATAACTACAAAATTGTGGGTACATTCCTCCATCACTGGTCAGATGCAGTATAACCGGACATTATTTTGTTTTTAACAAGGAATGCGATTTTTATAGAATTTCATTTATTGCTATTGAGCCATCATTACCCCACTTGGGGTAATTTACCATGATTCCCCCGACCCCCCCCCAGCTCCGAAGAGCACACAAGTAGCTACTTTTTAAAAATAGATGACTACTTTTGACACTCATGTTTTTAAGAGATGACTACTTTTGACACTCATGTTTGTTTCTGACTGAAGGAATTGTCCAAGTGTGAGGCCAACCACTTCCTGATATTATTCCGAGACGCAGGCTGTCAGTACAAGGGCCTCTTCATCTTCTACCCTGAGACAGAGGAGGCCTTTAAAGTACATGGGGTGGGCCCCAAACACATCACCAATAAAATGTGTGAAAAATTCTACAAGTAAGTACAGTCTGTCACAGTGTAACACAGTCCACGCACTGAACATCCAACTGTTTTAAAAAAAAAAAAAAATACAAAAACACCCCCCCCCCCCCCACATCCCCAAATACTGCCATCTGTTAATCTTGTTTCATAACATTGTCAATAGTAAAATATTAATTAATGAAAGAAATATTTTTCAAAGATAATATTGTGAAAATAATTTATATTACCTGTATTTTATATTTAAAATGATCATACCGACACAACTAATGCCTATATCCCGTCAAGGGGACGTTACTTACACTACTTTCTTTATGCGTAGATATGATTCACGCTCTCTTGCCTAATGCGGTTGATTAGAATATATCTGTTAAATGAAAAATTACTTAAAAGGTACATGCGGGTAGGATGTGAACCCCTAACATTAAGTAGCTTGTAAATTGTTTGCAATATACGCTGTAATATACTGTAGTTAGGCAGTTGAGTGCTGTTTTCTTTCTTGTATTTCTGACCAACATTCATGTACATCCATCAAGCCAACAATTTGGTCTTCTCTACAGAAACCATATAAAATCTGATTAAATTTCCAACACTGATATGTGTTGAAAATAATAAAACCAACAACATTGTCAACTCCTACAGTCTTCTTGGATTGATTACATTTGTCAAGTTCTTTTCACACGTTGAAGCGTCGTACTATTCTCACTATCATTGAACAAACTCAACTCCTTTTCATAATAACTATAACTTTAATGTATAAGTAAATATAATACACATAACATGTGAATATAGCGCAGCTCGCTATCAGACCTAAATAATACACATCCTATCACTCCAAAGTTCCACTCAAGACTGCCGCACGACTAAAACATACGTCACAATACTGCATAGACAATATGTCACGAATCAGCATAAAAATACGTCATAGAGACAATGGCGGGAAGAGCGTTCAATAACTATAATAGTCAAGCGCGGGAAAAGCGTTCAACAACTAATTAACATAATATTGAGTCGCAACAATTACTAATGAACGCTCATATTCGACAAACATATTTTATCTCAAATCTATTTGGACCATGGGAAGTTCAAATGTTTAAAAAAATCTTTTTATTTAAATGGTTAAGTTTTCAGAATGTACCCCCCCCCCCGCTCCAACCCAGCCCCTCATGTTGAGCCGATTTGATATATAAAGTGAAGAGACAAATGATATAGTAGAACAGATGTAATTTTAATGCCTGGGAACCAGGTGAATGTGAATTGATTTAAGAATTTAAAAACATCTTTCTCTTGTATTTTCTCCAGGTACAACTCTGGCGCCAAAAGCTTCATGGAGATCACATCCACCAAACATTTATCCGTGTCAGTGGATGCTGTGGTCCTGCAGGGAACTGTGTGGAAGACTGGGAAAGTTGTGGTCAAACGATAGGGGCTGCACTTTCTTGCGTCTGTATTTGGATTACTTTGTGCTGCTTATTTCATGAATGTGCCGAGATTCACTACCAGATGTCCTTAAATGTTATGCCTCTTGATGTGTGCTGTTAAGATGTGGAGTACGCACGTCTGTGGTGCTTACAAGTGCGGTCCTGGACTAAAGTCTGGAGAAGGATGGAGCGTTGAAAGATTTCAACGTGATTATCATCTTGGATCGACTCAATAACAGACCACTGAGTCTTTGTCCCCACGGATCATCCGATACTGACATTGTCACTGTCAGCTCACTGCAGTCAAAGAGTCAAGACAAGCTTTCACCAACTGTGAATCAGTGTCAGTTCTTGTATCACATAGATTCGGTCATAGGCCAGTGGTTCTGTGTGTAGTGAAGTGAAACAGGGTTTTTATTCCAACTGGTTCAAAGGATAAATATTTTACGAAGACTTCCTGCTCCGGGATATTGCTGAAGGAAGAATAAATGTAATGGACAAGTCTAACCAAGATTGCAATATTTACCGTCATCATTTCAACAATACCCTATCCTTGCTGTGTCTGTCCATCATATTTTATCATCTGCTGCCCTCCTTGAGGATGTGTTGTGACGAAAGGATAACTGCTTGCTTATTTGTTTCTTCTCTCTTAAAATTTGCATATCTTCAAAATTGACGGTGTCGATGTATTGATGTATGGCCTTTATCTCCGTGCAGCCTTGGTATCAGTATGTCATTTAGTCTTTCAATTTTAAATACGGAAAAAAAATGTGTAATCTGATTTAATGTGTGGAAATTGTTTTTTACCTGCGTGTCTGACATTTTACCTTGATGATTAAACCAGGTAGACTTTTTGATCATGTGAGAGACCTGGTACATTCTGGTATTTGACCAAAGTACACTTGGACAGTCTGAGAATTTTTATTTGCTGCAATGTTTTCAGGGAATAAACGTTATTAAAATAATAAATTAAAATAGGCAGGGCAAAGATGACCGAAACAAAATTGATGACTACGCACCATTTGGAAGAAAAAAAAGCAACTGCTGCAACACTTAAATGAAACAAAATATTTATTTGATGTCAAAAAAAGTTTTGCCCAAAGAATTATTGAATAAAATAAATTGTATAATGTTATTAGGCTTGCAGGGGAAAAAAAATTCTGGAAATGCCGGATGTGATTTCACAATGTAGATTTTCTCTCGTAGATTACAGGTTTTTTTCCCTTCATGTAACAGATTTGTGAATAATTTTTAATTTAGTTTGAATTTTTTTAGCAATTCATTTTGAAAGTTGAAATATTTCTTCAGTCTTCTAATTTTCCCAACAGAGATGAAAATTCCAGTTTGTTTCACATCAATGGGAGTGTCTGTTATCAGATGGTAAACGTGTTTCAAAATTTCTTTCTCTTCTTTGCTCACTTGTCTAACCCTTTTGGAACACTGCCGCCGCCGCCGTCCACATCCAGTCTTGACTGACCAGCCAGAGTGGCCACAGGGTCTCAAAACAGTCTGGTTTGGTAGTTTGAAAACACATGATCGGTGTTAATTTGTATACCTCTCAAGCAAGGGTTATGTATCATACCTTATCTGAATATGTTTTTTGTTACCTGTATTTATAAAAAAAAAATCTTTTAATCAATTCTTCAGCAGCCATGTCACTTTTCCATTCCATATTTTTAAATTTTTTTTGGTACTTGTTTTCATGTGTGTATACAAATATAATGTGGTATTTATTATTTATTTTTATTATTGGCAGTTTAAGAAAATGTGTCCTTCGGTTCTCTTTGTGTAAGTCAAAATCTGCAACTAACTTAAAATATCATCTAGCTATAGTAGTGTATTAGGGAGCACTTAATTAGGTCATTGTAAGCTTTTTAGACTGCGTCAATTGTTTTAAAAAATCCATCTAAATTTTTTTTTTTTAAATTCATATATATATAATGATCAGTATCAAAGATTTATTTTATTTGTAAACATGTATTATTCTCTATCTGAACTGGATGAATAGCATGCCCACCCAGTACCCAAATCTGCTCAGGGCTCATTCATATTGCACCACCTCTAGTTTGCAAAATCCAGTTAGCTTGAGATCACTATCATGGAAAAAGAGTCTGAATGACAATTGAAATTCACTGTGTTACAAGCTTTAGATTTAGTAGCCAAACTTCTATGCCAGGCCTTGTGCAACTATATGCAAATCTCCATACAAGCTTTGAGTTTAAGAAATAATTAATTTTTAGTGTTAAACATCTGCAAGATCTTATGTTCCAATCTTTTGAAAACCATCCATATAATTTGACATATTTTCTTTTCAAAGTTAAAAATCAGATTCTTTTTGTTCTTAAGGAAATAATGGAACAGGGTATGTAGAAGCTTCAATTGAAAGATATGAATGTTTCGACTATATCTTATTGTCCTGTCTTTCAATTCAAGCTTCAGCATACCTTGTTCTACTATTTCCTTCACACAGCGAATTTATGGTTTAAATTATATGCCTGAGCAGCTTTTTCTTGTGCCTCTCCTATTGCAAATCAGTTGCTTAAAATTCATTAATGCGAGCTATTCACATGGGATCCTGCAATTATAAACAAAACTCAGTTATGCAGTATCTACAACAGATAATAAAAATTAATGGAGTCAAAAGTGATTTTTTTTAAAAACGAATTAATACAAATACAAGCTTTTATTGAGGCCTTAGTTATCTAATGTTCTTGTAACTTTGTGATAGATGTCAAAAACACACCAATTTATGTGTTTTACAAAACAAACATTAGTTTTAGCTCTGTACAACTCATGACATCTAGTGTTACTTCTTTAGTGTCAAAAGTGTTTTAAAACTTGACATTTTAACTTTGCAGTCGGTCCGTTCTTTTTCAATAGTGTTTTTTCGACAGGAAACACTCAGTGAGTTGAAGCAAGACAGCACAGAATCTCAATATACAAACACGAGTGTCAGGTTGTGAGCCCGCCCTGTGATGTGTTTTCATTTTCACTAATTTCTGGTTTCCTTTTCGTAAAGAAGGCTGCACACTTGATAACCCCTGTGTTACAGTAGGCCTGCTGCTTTTTTTAAAACTTCAAACCCCTTCGTCACAGCTGTACAGCACAAATTTTTAAAAAGTTGTGTGTTCTGTCATGGAATTAGCCTAACTGTTTTTTCCCATTCACATATGTTCTCATTATTTTTTTTTGAGCTAACATATCTCTACTGTTCACAGTTGTAGTTAAAATTGTTGGTCATTATCAGATGAAACATCATTTTTAATGGCAATTTAAAACTTAGTAAGATTTGACATAAGTCTGTTTAGTTTATGATCATTGAGAATAATAAAAAAAAATATATATTAATATATCAAGTTTTATTTGATTTTGGATCAGATAATATTAGTCTCATTTGAATCAGATGGTGAAATATGTGTATAAATAAATATGTATCCAGTAATAGTGAGAGTACTGATTTGAAAGTGAATGAATGTTCTCCCATTTTAGATGATGCATCATGTCATTGGCAGGGAAAGGAAATGAAAAACAAGTATGCTATATCTGCATCTAAATAAATTAAAGGAATCTAGCCACAAGAAGGAAATTTTAGATTTTAGTCCAACTCACTGTCCTGAGCCTTTGCAGTGGGAAATGCTTGCAGTTAACCACACTCTGCCCTTCCTTCAACTTTAAACAGCTTTCCAATGCTCATTCATAATCTATATATACACAATATATTATAATCTCAATCATTGATTATAAGATATGAGCATATAATTTATAATAATTTTTTTTAAAAAGTAGATAAAGATGTTGATGTATTTTGAACGGGAAAACGTGTGGTAGTGAAGTGGTTAACACCCTGTTATTCTGATTGTCTTAAAAAAAACAACAAAAAAACAACCTATTTATCTTTGAAAAGAAAACATTTACAAAAGCAATGCCAGAGGCAGTAGGAACAGTTGTTTTTTTTTTTAAATAAAATATTACTTGCTGCTATTTATTGCAAAACTTCTTGTGTTCTTATTGTAATTTATTTTAAATCCCAGCTTGTGATGTATATATTTGTTCTCACTTACTTTGAATTGAAAAAAGAGGCATTTTAATCTTATTTATACTAACATTTCTTGTACATCTAGTAAACTGGAAAGTAAGTCACAGAAAAGATTGTAACTCAACTGATTTTTTAAACATTATTTTATTTTGTGCCAGTGTGAATTTTTTTTTTTTTTTAAACAGAATTTTTTTTTTTTAAAGTCATAGCCACTGTCAGAAAATCCTCTTGTAAAAAGGGATATTAATGAATTCAATAAATGTATTTTTTCTAATCTTTATGCTTCTATTTCAACGCCACCTACCCCCCCCCCCATGCCTTGGTTGCTACGTAATGCAAGCAATGGGGAGTTTTTACAGCCCCCAACCCCCACTTCATAAATCATGATGATAATATCACATTAAATTCAAGATCACAAAGTTAAACAAAATAAATGCAAAAAAAATTTAACCACAAGAATTTTACTTCTGCCATATCTAAATAGCCGATTTATCATTATTATTATTATTATATCAATATTCAAGGTAGCCTCCCTTTTTCATATTTTCTTTGGTTGTTGTCAATCTTTTAAAAGATTTTTTACAATGCAAAGCCTCATGACAAAAATTTGATTTGTGAATATTGTATATTGGATGTTTTTTTTTTAAATTTTGATGAATCATCGCCGCAACCTCTTTATATGCTGATATTTAAATACACAAAACTATAATTAGTCTCACTTCATTGCTAAATGTATACAAGCATGGAATGTTTTCAAAATATGGCTGTTAGCGGAAATTTCATTGGGCCAATAATATTTGCTTCCAGTGTACCTTTGCCATATTATAACTATGCTTAATTTAATGTCATTTGGGTAAGGACAGAATATTAGACAGAATATAATATTCTTATTTTATAGATTTAGCAGCAAGGCTAAAAAAAAATGGAGAATTCATTTTAAAATAAATAAAGTCAAATGTTGTTCAGTCATTGTCTGAATTTAGTTAATTTATTTCACCGATAGTTTATTGAATTTTTAAATATTTTTTTTGTATTACATTTCATTCCTTTTTTTTTACACTTTTTTTTTTTACATGAAGGTTCTTAGCTAATGTTGATATCAAGTTATCTCTCAGTTTTCAAGTTATATTTTAATTCATTTATGTACAGATGAACAGATATAATCATCATTAATCCATGTTATTTAGAGGTTAGTGGCACATTTCCATTCTACTAGTATCAGTAAATATATTTTGGCAATTTGCATCAGCTCCTTGTTTGTTTCTTTTTTTAAAATGTCTAATTCTTTATTTTATCATGACATATTCAACAAAAGATTAACATGAGCTTTCAAGATGGTTTAATTAAAAATAATATCATTCAATACAAACAACATGACTTCCAAATACTAACGTTTGGTAAATCATAGCCATTTAGTGATCATTTGCAGCCTGCTGCAACCATATACAACAAAACATTATTTATGAAATGAATACAGCACTTTACATAAAAACAAAACTGAATACGCCAAAATAATGAAACACCACTAGCTGTATTGACTTCGTGCGCTAAAATACTCATTCAAAGTGGATTCTAAGTGAAGAAATCTCGAGTTCTTTGAATCAACACAGAAATAAAATAAATAAAGCTGTGTATATTTTGAAAATTTTGAATTAAATTGTCCTTCAAATACATCGGAGCATCTCATCATCTTCTACTACTATTGCTTGTAACGTTATCAAACATGTATTAAAGTACTTTGAATATCTCATTATACTTGAATATTATTTTTAACAGAAGTTTGTTTAAAAGGTATATTGTGGGAGGCTGTCCAAAAAAGGTCGGGAGCAAATAAGGGGGGAAGTCAAATTTTCTACTTTTTTTTTTTTTTTTACATACTTACTATATTTGGCGTTGTACTGTTTCCACTTTATTTATTTTTTACATGTCTCTATAATATTTCAAGTTTTATTATTTTAATTTCAACTCTTCAAATACCAATCTGGGGCATAAACAAGAGTTAATATAATGCCTAATTTACACAAATTAAGACAAAATATGCAAACAAAAATATCTTACCAGTCTTTTGCAATACAAACTTCTGTATAGCCGCACTCTCTATTTACACAAATTATCTACGCACCTCCTCCCATTCCACACAGAAATCAAACACTATTACTATAGCTTTAGTATATTAGACATTTATGATTATTACTGAAACTGTCACTTTTTGCACAATATGTCACTCAATGTCTATGGAGCACATTGAACTTGTAAACTTTAGTGCTGATACCTCTCCTGGCCTATACATTCTTAGTAAATTTGCTAAAGATTGCCCTGACTCTTGCAGTACGATGTATATCCTCGTTATCGATGGTTGAGCTGTTGGACAGTGTACTGCCAAGATAAAAGAAGCTGTTTATACTACTTTAACCCTTCTTTGTATACGTGAACGTTATGCTCAACATAAGGTTTTCGAGAAGCTTGCTGTAGATCTTTTTCATGCTAATTGTGAGAACGAAGCTTGTGCAGACATAGAAAATTTCAAATCTTATGTTGCATGTCAGCTTCTGATCCAGCGTTTAGGCGGAACAAACTACAGCATACAGAAGGTCCATGTTGCTGTCTGTCAGGACCTTTGATTTGGCATT